AGGTGAGGGTAAACAGTGATCTCTGCAGCACTTTGGGCCAGAAGGTCCCCAGTTTGACACGCCTGATCTACAAGATGAAGAATATTTAAATCCTTCATTTTGTCAACTGTGTATTCAGTTTCAGCGTCGCTCCAAAAGTGCTGTGCTGCATCTCGTGGGCGCTGTGTTAGACGCTGTGTTAAACCCTGTGATAAACACTGCTCGCTGTTTACGGGACGGCGCTCTGTTTTCACACATGCACAGACTGAGAGAAACAAAGGAAATCAGAGTAAAGGTTTACATGCACTGAAAAACCCCATTACATCAAATGCAGCCTCTTTATCCCAGAGAGCTGGATTTTAGCTTCGCTAAATTTTTAATCGGATTTCTAGGCCTTAATCTGATCTAAGAAATTGTCTTGTGCGTTAAGCAAGCTCTCCTATTGGTTAAGACTTCAGAGAAGTCTAACCGCATTAGATTAGCTATCAGCATAATTATGAAGTGACAGAGGAATCAACCAATCATGTTTTGATTTCCAATGGGTGGGACAATTTGTGTAAGAAAAAAGCCACTCTAGTCCATCTGGAAGTTCTAGATACATCACTGACTGAATATGAGCGGCAATCTAATCAGTGGGCTGTTAGAAATGGAAAACAGCGGCAGCAGCTCTATGAGAGCTCGAGACCCCTGAGAAACTGATACAAGGTAAAATATATGCTAACATGTCTCTCACAAGCTTTGAGTAAAACATGGAATGTCTTTTTGAGGCTTCAGGTTTCTGTGTTTGAAAGAACTGACAAAAATATTAATGTGCATGCATTAACTTAGTGCTAGAGTCCCATAGGGACGGTAGCAGAAGTTAGCATTATCATAGAGGTGTTTATTCCTCATGTTTTGAACAAGATTTGAGATTTATAGCACAAATTAAAGACCTAGCTGTAATAGTCATGATTCACCAATGACATAAGTTCTAGACTGCTGCATCTGATTCAGAGGCTGTGATAGGAGGTGGTCATGAAAATGCAATATGCTGGGGGGCCCATGCAGTGAAATGAAACAGAAAAATGAAAGTATAAAACATTTGTTTAATGTCCTTTTAGGTACTAATTGGATGGTGACTGAATTGTGGTTAGATCAAATGGTCTTTATTGACATTCCTCAACATAACTTGTATACTTCGGAACAAAATGTGGTTCTTTAGGCGCCAAACACACAACAATAGCACATTACAAAGGACTACACAGAGGGCAGATATATAACAGTGTGAGATGAGTGCAGAACACACAGTAAATACACCAGAGAATAAATATACAGAACAATAAACACACCATTATATAAATGAATACTAGACAGGACAACAAAACACATGGTTTGGCATCAATCAGCATGTTCGTGATGAAAGAATCAGTGTAAACATTGTCACTGTAAACTGTACAGATATATTGAGGTTCTATGTATGAACTGCGAAATAATTTAGTGAAGTTTTTATTGGTAACAAAAAATAAAAAGCAACTGTGCTGGGTCTTTAATAAAAACCATTCAATTCAAATGTACAGGAACGAAACAGAAGACAGAAAGAGAAAAATCTCCCATCCTTTGAGATTTGTAACGTCTAAAATGAAAATGTAAGGAGTGCACAGTATGTCTTCCCTCCTATGTTCAGTATTCAGTCTCAGTAATACTCAAGTAAAGTATAAATCTTTTAAAATAATATTTAAAAATAAAATAAAAATAATACAATTTGTCAAGCATTTTTCACCCTTGGCAATGAAGCCTTTCTAAAGTATGTTTAATTCCAGACACTGAGGATTCTTTCTAATGCCCTAGCTAAGGGCCTGACAGTGAGGAGCCTCAGTTTATGGCCATTTTATGAAATAGTAATGTTTTGTTTTTTTGAGTTGCAGTTGGATGACAGCAGACTCTGCTAGGGTTTTTTTTACATTAAAGAACCATATTTTTGATTTAGTGCATTTAAATCTTGATATATGTTGTATATGGCATATATATATACATATAGACGTCTATATGTGTTTTACATTTGATCTTCATTAATGGTTCTGACGCATATGCAGAGAGAAAGTTGATCTGGTTTACACACTTTGGTTTGTGGGGACCCTTTATATGTGAAAGAAGAGGATAAAATATTCCTTTCTGAACTGTAACACACAGCGCTTCAGCACTCAGCTGATAAAGCTACATAGTTTTTATATAATTCCTTATATTTTTTATAGTTCTTTATATTTAACCTCAACTAAATCAGCAGCTACATTTTCTTCCGCCTGTAAGAGCTTTTGCTGGTGCTGAGTGAAAGCGTGCTGTGCTCACGCAGGGCTCTATAAGCCCATCCCTATAGTTATCAACACCTCCAGCTCCATGCATGGCCACTAGTTCTGCAGAGATCAGCAGACAAAGACACGCAGGCAGTGGATACGGTTTACTGCACAGGAACTGCTATCAGATGCTCAATTTAAACACCAGTGGTTTTCTGGTAGCGTGTTCAGGTTGTTTGTGCCGTATGTCATGCTTAGATACCTAAACCTCAGTCAACCAGATAAAAAAATTGTTTTCCTTCTTTGAAAACAAAGACATATTTTTCACATTAGCCATAAATGCAGGTCACTCAGGTTTTACACTTTGCACTGCTTTCTTCAATAATGTTCACAGAGTATATTTTGCTGCAAATATCACTTTATCACTTTTACTGTGGCAATTGTGTATTTTTTTATGTCAATAAAGCTGTATTTGTGCAGTCCATTTTGTCTGGGCCTCCTCGTTCACTCCTCATTGCTCACTAGCAGCTCAGTGACCGTCACTGTATTTTACACACAGAGGCCTGCAGAAAGAGGCTATGCTGGAGCCACATACATTGCTATATGCATTATCAAATTACATATTTTTTAGATTAGACTTTTTTTTGCACTCATTTTGCAGTTTTACTGAAAGCAAAACTGAATTGCATGAGCATTTACAATGCCAACTTACATACATCCATCATCTAAACCGCTTATCCTTCTGGGTCGCGGTGGGGTGCTGGAGCCTATCCCAGCTATCATTGGGTGGAAGGCAGGATACACCCTGGACAGGTCGCCAGTCCATCGCAGGGCAGACAGACAGACATACACAGTCACACACATTCACACCTAGGGGCAATTTAGAGTGTCCAATCAGCCTGACTGCATGTTTTTGGACTGTGGGAGGAAACCGGAGAACCCGGAGGAAACCCACGCAGACACGGGGAGAACAGGCAAACTCCACACAGAAACAACCCTGGTCACCTGGCCGGGAATTGAACCCAGGTGTTCTTGCTGTGAGGCGACAGCGCTACCCAGTGCGCCACCGTGCCACCACAACGCCAACTTATTTATTCCTAAAAGAAAAGAAAAAAATAAATAAAATAACACAGGATATGCCTCATAAGGATGCAAACCATATCAGTTCTCATTTTTGGGATCTGTACTGTGAGTATTATTATCTGTACTGTATTAGGGATACTTATTAGATTGTATAGCCTTTCTGCGCATTAGTCACTACATACACTACACTATATCGTCATATAATGTTTTGCTCTCATTTACTGCATGATTTTGCCAATTTCTACAGTCTACTTTATATTTTATTGCAATAAACAAAGGCTGACTGTGGTCAGTAGGTCTTTGGCTAGCTAAGGGCCTGACACTGAGGCCCTCCAGGGGCCCTCGCTTTGTTTGAAAATGCAGATAAGGGTGAACATTAGCTTGTAGCTTGAAAGCTACACACTTCAAAAAGATCTTTCTTCAAGGGTTCTTTAGTAAAGAAAATGGTTGAACACTTCTTGCATGATTAAGCGGTTCTTCGCATTATGAAACGGTTCTTCAGACTGATGGAGAATGTGCTGCTGATGGTTCTATATAGAGCTTTTTTGAAAAGGGTTCTGCTATTGTTACAAACCTGACATCGTAGCAATATAAAAACCATGTACAACACATTCTCCATCAATCTGAAATGATGCACTCTTTGCGCGTTCATGGTTCTATAAAGATCCAATGTCTTTAATAAAGAACGCTTAAATAATCATCTTTTTTTAGGAGTGTAGCTTGTAGCTTTGACTCTTTTAACACAAGATGAAAGATACTTTCAAGTTTGAAGGCTTTCTTTGGTGATGTTCCTTCATTCAGAGGTCAGTTCACTGTCCAGTGAGGAAAAACAATGGCCATTTTATTATGTAGTAATGTTTTGCTAAAACTTTAAACTGGATGACAACAGATTTCCCTAGTTTTTTTCCATTAAATAACCATATTTTTAATTTTGCGCATATAAATCTTGATATATGTTGTTTATGGCGTATATAGACATACATGTATGTTTAACACTTGGCCGTCATTAATGGTTCTGATGCATTAAGATGTGCGTACAGTGAGAAAGTAGATCTGGTTTGTGGCGAGCCTTTACATGTGAAAGAAGAAGATAGAATATACCTGAACTGTAACACACAGCACTTCAGCACTCAGCTGATAAAGCTGGTTTTTATATAGTTCGTTTAACCTTAACTAAATCAACAGCAGGAGTTTATTAACAACAGCATTATCTGTAGATAATCCAGCTGTCGAGGACATCAAGCAAAGCATGAAATCAGTGTTCATCTGAATAGGTGCCCACATAAAAAAAGAAACTGCTCGCTCATGCCCACGCTACCAAACTCACAGTGCCTTGACAACCAAATTTTACTTTCGGAGGTAAACGTGACGCTCAGCAGCCTCTCAGCCAAATCAAGAGTGTCTCTGAAGGCATCATGAAAATCAAAAGCCACACTCTCTCGCCACAAAAAATACGTTAGCAGAGAGAGAGAGGGATAAAAACACATTGTGGCTTTCTCATGGTGAAGGTGAAAACAAAACTCTGAGTTTATTTTCTATGAATAACCTGAACGACAAGGTGAGGCTAAGGAAGTGAAGTATCAAGCACACTTTTGCTTTTTGATGTTTGCAACATGCAACATGGTTTTGGGAACCAAAAAAAAAAGGAAGAAGAAGATGATGAACATTTTTCAGTGCACTTTATTTGAATGTAGAAGTACAGAAGAATTTTAGTTCCAAAAACAATCCACCTTTTTCTATACACTTATTTACAACAATGTACAAGGTTTAAAATCATGACTTCGTAAGGGTAACCTCTTTAACCAGGAACATAACAAAGCTACTGGCTACATCTAAATATCTCACAACCACTGTATAAAAGAAATGTAATTACCACACTGGGCTACAAAGGAAAATTGCATTGAACAATATTATAAGCATTGATTATATATCTCTATAACGGTCAGCATGTGTATTTGAAAGAGTCCTGTTTTTGCGGAACTGGTTTGTGTGTTGTTATACATGATATGCTTAGGTGTAACGTGTGAAAAGAGAGCGGGGTGAATATGTGCATGGAAGGAGTGATAAACGGGTTGGGTGATGACCGGTCAGCTCGAAACAGCTGATCAGTTGATAACTGGTCATTTGTAAACATCAGGCTACAAAGACAGTGCTGGGGTGGTGTCCGTGTCAGACATAACAGAGGGTCTCTTGGGAACCGCTTGGGCTTTGTTGACTCCGCCCATCCCGGTCAAGCAATGGCAGAGGCGCAGCAGATCATTCCGGAAGCGTACCCCGATGAAAGCGTACAGGATCGGGTTGAGGCAGCAGTGCGTATAGGCCAGACTCTTCACTACCTGTCCGGCCACATCGAAGGCTTTGACGTCCTCGCAATCGTTCATGGTTGCGTTATAAGCTTGCGCCGCCTCGACCACCAGATGACTGTTGTATGGCAGCTGGGAGATGACGAACGCCGCCACCACTGCAAAGATGACCCTCAGCGCCTTGTGCTTCTCGAAGTTGCGGGCTTGCATCAGCGTGCGGATGATCACGGAATAGCAGACCACCATGACCAGCAGAGGAAGACAGAAGCCTACAGAGATCTGCAGGCACAGCACCATGACTTTGGTGAGGTTGTTGCTGCTGACCGGATAGACCAGGCTGCAAGAGTGGTCACCGCGTGAGTTTTCCTTCACCTTAGCGAACAGAAACTCAGGCAGGGACAGGAGGCAGGACAGCAGCCACACCACCAGGCAGGCCAGCTTGCTGTAGAACATCCGCCTGCTCTTGAAGTTGTGGGCCGCGGTCACGCGGACTATGGCGATGTAGCGGTCCACGCTAATGCAAGTGAGCAGGAGCATGCTGGAGAAGAAGTTGACCTTGTAGACGGCGGAGACTCCCTTGCACACGGCGACGTTGAACACCCAGCCCTGGGTGGCGTCCGTGGCCCAGAACGGCAGCGTGCACAGGAAGAGGAGGTCTGCTATCGCCAGGTTGAGCAGGTAGACGTCCGTCATGGTCTTGAGGCGTTGTTTCACGGTTGTGTAGATCCACACAACGAGGAGGTTGCCCGCAGCTCCCACTGCGAAGATGATCCAGTAGAGAGGGGGCTCGTAGGAGCCTCGGAAGCTCCTCACCCAGCTCTTATCACAGATGCCGTTCTCATTTTCTATGTCGTCATAGTCCTCTGTCCCACTAGACATCTGAAAATGAAACAGGTGTCAAATAGCTTGGATTTAATGGAAGAACTCATATCTGTCAAACTTACAGCTTCACAGATATCGATTAGGCCTGAGCCTGGATTGGAAAAGACTGGAACAATGAATCACCGCTGGCTTTACAGTCCAAGACTAGACATAAAACATATAGGTGGAGCTGGAGGAGAGTGTACACTCTTAAAAAAGATGGTTCTTCTAGGGTTCTGTATGGAACCAGGAACACTCAAAGAGACACCAACGCTAATGTCCACTCTTGGGGGTAACAGGACAAAGTAACGTAATGCATTATGTTACTTTTTCCTGCAATGTAATAGTCTAATGCATTACAGCTTAAAACTCTTAAAAAAGATGGTTTTTCAAGGGTTCTTTAGGAGAGACAATGGTTTTTGTACAGAACCATGAACACTCAAGGAACCATTTGCATGCTTAAATGGTGCTTTGCATGGTGAAACGGTTCTTCAGATTGATGTGTTGAATGTATTGAATTTTTGAAAATGGTTCTATATAGCAACAAAAAGCGTACTGTATATAAGCTTGACATCATCACAATAGCAGAACCCTTTTTGTTGCTATATACAATACTATATACAACTTCACCATGCAAAGAGCCCTTTTCGAACACTTTACTAAAGACAATGGTTCTGTATAGAACCATGAACGCTCCGAGAGCCATTTGCATGATTAAAGCGTTGTGAATTGGTTCCTCAGGTTGATGGCTGGTACAATATAGCACCAAAAAAGGGTTCTTCTATTGTTTTAAGCTTGACATTCTAACAATAAAAGAACTCTTTTTGGTGGAAACCATTCGCCATTAATCTAAAACGATGCAAAGAACCTGTTAACCATGCAATAGTTCTTTGTGTGTTCGTGGTCCTGTAGAATTACCCTCTTTATGACAGAATCCTTGAAGAACCATCTCTTTTAAGGATGTAGTAGGAGAAGTATCTCAACCTCTGTCCCACTGGGTCTTGTCTAGGCCTGATGGTTCTAAGATTCACCTTCCGTCTTATTTGTAGTTCCTAATTCTTTCTGTAACCTTCACTCTTAAAAATGAAAGCATCAAAAAAAGTGTGTTCTTTGGCACGAGGTCAGAGATGAACCTCTTTTGCTTCCTCAAAGAACCTTTCAGTGGATTGTTCACTAAGGCATCTCTCAAAAGAACCTTTTTTGGCACCTTTATTTACCCAAAGTTGATGGTGCTGAGCTATGCCTTTTTCCTGTGTTACACGTTTGGATGTGAGTCATCGTTTTACCACCACTTTTTCGCTTTTTCTCTTTTTTTCTTTCCGCTGTCTCACACGTTCAGGGTTATGAAGAGTTTCACACATTGCTTTTCTCAAGTTGCTTCTCCCAAACACTGGATTTCCTGTGTAGTGAGTGTCTCGCTGGAGCAGAAGACAAGCCCCGGCGAGAGCGTCATACGGCTGAAGTCATACGGCCTCAAACCCATAATCTGAACGTTATAACTTTCAAAAACACATTCCAGGCGCAGGTGTTCGGTGTTACTAGCGGCAAAAAAACCACAGTACACCACATCCTCCTTTTAGAGCCGACCCCCGGGGGGCGACGCAACCGGGCCCCCTCAGCACACGCCGAAAAGGGAGCGACTCCATGCGCTGACACAGATATCGAGGCGAGATACAGGTACGGTTTACGCAAGCAATGGAAACAGCTAGTTTTTCATGATTTCTAACTCTATAGTGATCACAGTGCCGCATCAGCGAGGTTGATCCATATCAATGAGCTACGTCTGTAGGTATGTGTCATGTTAGTTTTGAGCATGAACTGTTCATTATGTCAGGACGGACGGGCTAAAAGATCTTGAATAATGATAGAAAATGATATGAATGACATGTTGATACTCCAAAATGTGTACGCGTGCATACGCAACACGAAAAAAAAACAACAACAGGAACACACAGGCAATCAGTTTAACCACTAGATCACCCATTATGTTTTGCTCCTCCCGCTGCACCTTGGTAGTGTGCGGGTTGTATATTTAGGTTGGGTTTTTTTTTACGCTACACTGCATCTGCTGCCCCCTACCCATGCTTTCGTACACAACGTGAAAAAGGACATTGTTTATGTGTAATGATAAAACACCTACATAGTCTGGTGTCGTCCAGGTTTCAAATGTTGGGTCAATCTCATTGTCCATTTTACCTAAAAAGGAATCAGATGAAGATTAGGTAAGAAGAAATGCGTACGAAGTTGTGTTTTCCTGATTATATTCAGTGTATGCACTTAGTTAACCCCTTAAAATCTTATAATTCAGTAACTACAGGGGTTATTCTCAGGTTATAGAGGTGTGTAATAAAACTTTGGGCCTTTTAAGGGGATAATGTTTTACCATTCATTGTATTTGTGAGGTCTACATACACATACATGCAAAAAACATTAGAACATTGATCAGCTACATCAAAACAACAAGAAACATTAAAAGACAAATGAAGTGTTATATTCCTAGTAGTGAAATACTAAAAACGAATATACAAAATGAAACTACAGTTAGATTAGTTAGATATACTGATCTGAAAGTAGAAGTGTGGTTGCTTTAATACAACAAGGACTCAAGTAGAAGTAAAAGTAGTCTATTAAAAGTACGTTAAGTAGAAGTAATCCAGGTCTAGAAAGTAAAAATCCTCTTCAGGATTTTGTTCCAAGTGGCTGTACACCTTTGGTGCACAAATTGGAGAAGCCAGGCAGTTGGAAAAAAATCCTGGGGAGGATATTTCACTTTTTGGACCAGGAGTAAAAAAAAATTATGAAGTCAAAAACTCTGAAGTACTGAGTTCCCCAATAGAACTTCAGTGGAACTTCTCTCAGTATAAGAACTAAAGTGTAAGCGCTCTTCTTCTCTATTGGGATCCTTCAATAAAGTAAAGATCCATCATAATTGCACTTAAGTACACTGTACTGATAAACATGACTAGTTCCAATCCACCTCTACAAGAAATGCACTTGAACTGATTTACTTACCGGTAACTGTTATTGAAGAGAGCAGTGGGGAAATCTGAAGCACAATGAGACACGTAGTGTAGTTATGAATAGTCCCTCCTGCGAGTCATCGCCTCATTATAAAGCGTGTCGCCTTGACCACATGTATCACATGACTGCTTACAGTGTTGAAGATGAATCTCTCTGCTTCTCTCTCTCTTCAGTGCTCTTATCTTCAGGGCTCTTTTGGATCGCCTAGATTGGCTTCTCAGAATTTGCATATTGTGGTCCTGCAGTAATCACAACACATCCACTTCTCCTCTGAGAATGATGAGCACAGTGCTTTTTTGTCTTGTCACCGAAAGCACTGAAGGTTCTTGTGATATGACTCAAAAGCTGAACCCATAGTTCTCACATTGCTTTCCATGAGAAGCAGGTATGACCAGTCAAAATCTGACAGAACACCAGGGCTTTCAACCGTGAAGGTGCAGAGAGAATGGACACCGGAACTCGAGCCAGGATCATTCCAAGCGGATGGATCAGGGAATGATAGGTGTGAGGGCTTTTAAAGATTCAGTTTACAAAGTAAAATGATACAAGCAGCACTAATGTAAAGTGGTCTGGGTCCTGGGCCAAAGTAAACAGAGGTTCGTGATAGTGGGACAGTCATTAATCATACTGATTTGAGCTGCTCTAGTCTAGTGCTTATCAATCCCAACCTTGGGAACCTCATTTTTCTGTATTCTGATAAATATTATTCAAATGATAGAGCTCTTAATATTTGAGTCAGACATGTTAGTGCAAGGGAAACAAAAACGTGAGACTACAATTGAGTGAAACTACCATTGAGTGAGACTACCATTGAGTGAGACTACCATTGAGCGAAACTACCATTGAGTGAGACTACCATTAAAAGAGACTACCATTGAGTGAGACTACCATTGAGTGAGACTACCATTGAGTGAAACTACCATTGAGTGAGACTACCACTGAGAACTGCTGCTTAATACAGGGTGCTGTGCTGGCCATTTTATCAGAAACACTTACTATGTAGTCACACTCTGTAGATTTACAATAACTGACTGCAGCTCATCTGTTGCTGCACAGTGTATCTCATCCATCAATGGAAAGAGATCAGGGGTCAGGGGTGTCCAGTCTTCTCTGAGAAGGGCCAGTGTGGCTATGGGCTTCCTTTCCAACATAGCAGGAGCACAAATGGTCAGCTGTTTTAAGACTGAGCAACTGATTAAACAATCAGGTGTGATCCTGCTCATTTGGAATTGCAGATTGGACACCTCTGCTCCAGGTCTTCATCAGGGGTCAGTTTCTGACCACAGAACCGCTGTTGGCTGGATGTTTTTGCTCAGAAGACGATCCCCTGAGACGTGGCTGATGGATTGTACAGCAACAGATGGGCCCACAAAGTGCTCCTATATGGGTGTATCCGATAAAATGGCCAATGTTTGGAGGTACAAAGTAGACATGCCTAACAAACTAGCATCTCCCTAACTAAAACCAGTCCACGTTACCAATCAGACGCGTCTATAATGGTGTAAGAAAGAACCGAGAATGTTGTTGTGACTGGGGATTTTTTTGAGAAGTGAAGTAATTCTGCTTCAATCAAGGGAAATACCAAGGTACACTTGTCATGTCAACAAGACATGACAATCTTCAGGTACCACAAAGGAGAACAGGTTTAATAGTGATGAGAAAATTTTGAAGTGTGCTCAAAACAGAGAATTTTCTTTCACATGGAAGAAAATAAAAAGAATGAGGAGAATCTACAAAAATGAAAAAGGGGAAACCACATGAGCTGCCATATGATGAGAATGTGGCTAACAACAAACAACAGAAAAGTACCAGCGTTCCCTGAAAATAACTGGAAATGTCTGACTTGGCATGTGGATGATTGTGAAATCATGTTTCCGATGGGATCTGTCGATCTTGAGAAAGTTGTATGGGATATAATACAAGGGTCATGAAAAGTGACATGGTATGGCATATGACTGATGGCTTAAAAAAAGCTAAACAAATATTGACTCGTCATGTGAGTCCATATGAATCTGCAGCACAAACAACTGTGAGAACACAGTGATCAGATTTGAGCCATATGTGAGTATGTGGCCGTAATGAGATCAGTCAGGTATGAATTCATGTGTGTGTGTTATTTTTAAACAGCACACTTTACTGCATGTACTGTATGTCTGCGGTCATCACCCAGTGTCAGCAGCGTTATAATTGTGCATGCGCAAGCCCTTTCAGGTCAAATATGGGTCGCCTATTAACATGAAAATGAACTGTCAAGGCAGACCTGCGAACAAGGACTCAGCATTGAGCAATAAGGCTTAGTGATGTGAGCACAGGCATAGAGGATCCCACCAGGCATGGCTTTGCATATGTTTCCTTTTAGCACTTGTGCGAAAGCCGATATGTCGTGAGGCCGGCTAAAACTGAGAGTATGAAGTGATAATCTGATGAAAACACTCTCTGTGGCCCCTCATTGGGGGAGTTTCACTTCTTAAACTTTGACTTAACTTCACTTCATTCCTCAGATACAAAGGGTGAAAAGATGAGACATGGTGGTTCGACAGCCAAACTCATCGCTCACGTCTTTACGATGCTGTTTCTCGGTTTGGACCACAAAACGGTAGCAGCTATGTCCGGTGTTAGAAAAGCCTGGGAAAGTGCTCTCACAGGATGTGAAACGCACAAACAGGGGCACACAAGCCAGCGGGGCACCTGTGCTTAAAAGTGTGCACAGAAACTTCAAAAAATGCACTTCAGAGCAGTTTAACATGTTGATTTATGTTTGTTTTTCATTTCAGTGCTGCCTGTATGATTTGAATTATTTGTATGGTTTTGTGTTTTCATTAGAAATTCTGGTAACACTTTCTATGAATGTCACCTTTGTAAGCATCTATAAACACATTCATAACATGTTATAATGCATTCATAAGGAATTATAAACATGACTATAAATATTTATAAAAAATGCATTACACGTTATATCCATGCTTATTATGCACTATGAATTGTTAACATAATACATTATAAGTACTGATCATAACAAATTATAAGAGCTCATAAGTGGTATTTGTCCGCTCTAAGTAAAGTGAAGCGTACTGTACTAAAGCCTCCTCCAGTGTTCAGAGTGAGGCTTCAAGTTGACGTATTTACTGAAGGATTTACTGAAACACTAAAACATTCACAGTTTTAAACTAGAGTCAGAGTTTAAACTAGAGCTGCATCAGTGTTTTACCCAGTGTGGGAAAGGTAATGTTCACCACCGTTAGCTTGGTATTTGTCTTTACTTTACGCTCTCCAAGCTGGGACTGACTTCTTTGGCACTGACAGTATAACATGTTATCAACACTACTTATAATGCATTATACTAACAATTCATAATGTGTAATAAACATGGCTATAAAGTGTAATTCATTTTTATAAATGTTTATTATCATGTTTATAATGCCACATGAATGCATTATAACATGTTATAAATGTGTTTATAGATGCTTACAAAGGTGACATTCATAGAAAGTGTTACCAAATTTCTTTTATTTGTATAATTTATGTAAGCATTTTCATTATTGTATGTACAGTACGTACTCAAAGAGATCAATACAGTACATCTATCTATCTATCTATCTATCTCTATCTATCTGTGCTACATGACCAAAAGTATGCGGACCTCCTGCTTATTGAGTTCAGCTGTTTCAGCCACTCTCATTGCTAACGAGTGTATAAAATCAAGCAGATAGCCTCGCAACCTCCATAGACACACACTGGCAGTAGAATGGGTCGCACTGAAGAGCACAGTGACATATGTAGCACCATCATAGGATGCTATCTTTGCCTCATGTCAATTTGGGAGATTTCTGCCCTGCTAGATCTGCCCTGGCTAATGCAACTGTGCTGTTGTTGTGAAATTAACAACAGCCCAGCCACAAAGTGGTAGACCACGCATACTTACAATGCATAGCACACAAAAATATTCAATTCCCTGTTGCATCACTCACTACAGATTTCCAAACTGCTTCTGGAAGCAAAATCAGCAAAAGAGCTGTGTGTCGGGAACTTCATGGAATGAGTTTCGGTGGCCGAGCAGCTGCACACAAGTCTAAGATCACTATGCGCAATGCCAAGCACTGGCAACCTACCAGAATGCATAGTGCACTAAACTTTAAAGTTTGGTGGAGGAGGGATGATGGGCTGGTTAGGGTTTGGGCCCCTCAGTTCCAGTGAAGGGTGATGTTGATGCTGCAGCACAAAGACATTTTACACAGTTATCTGCTTCCAGCTTTGTGGAACAGTTTGGGGAAGAGTCTTTCCTGTTCCAGCATGACTGAGCCCCAGTGCACAAAGCAGCTCCATAAAGACATGGAGTGACCAGTTTGGTGTGGAGGAACTCCATTGGGCTTGACCTCAACCCCACTGAACACCTTTGGGATGAACGGAGATTGTGAGCCAGACCCTCTCGTCCAACATCAGTGTCTGACCTCACAAATGATCTTTAGACTGAATAGACTCACATTCCCACAGACTCTCTCCAACATCTGTAGAAAGCTTCCCAGAAGAGTGGAAGCTGTTAGAGCAGCAAAGGGGGGCAACTTCATATTAATGGCCATGGATTTAGAATGGGATGTCCAACAAGCTCATATAGATGTGATGGTCAGGTCGTATGCAGACTCTAGACTCTAAAAATATTGCTTTTTTTATATTAGTGTACAATTCCCAATGGAAAAACCACATAACACATATAATGTCTTATAACTTTTGCCAGGCTGCATTTTATGTTTTTCCCCCAGTATGTTCAATGTAGCAAATAAATAGTGCTTAGAAAATCACTTAGAAAACATACAAAACGTGTAATTTGACCATTTATCTATCTTTTATTTAATCATATAAACTTGCTAATGACAAAAGACATAAGTGTATGTTAATGACAACCTATAAATACTTTAAACTACAGTCCCTGTTTGAGAAAGCAATATATTTTTTGTAGGTTTTTTATTACATGCTCAAAGTGAATATCAAAAGTACTCCAGGAAGAAGATGCACATCAGGAAAAGGCACAGTGCTAGTAGACGATGTCCAGTTTACAGCATGCACAACATCTTAGTAATGGACAGTACCTTCCTATAAAGAGAGAGAGGAGAAAATATGCCGCTATTAACTTTCTCCTTTTCCCAATGTGACTCTAATACTCGCAGTTTGTCACTGAGTCCGTAGAGGTATCTGAGCGAGGCCTCAGTCTCCTCTGATCCCAATATATATTTGTATAAATACATTCTACATGGTTTGAAAAATGTAGAATACAGCAATATACTGTATACCAGCGAAGGCCACATCAGCAGCTGGGTTTACTAAGAAGAGTCTCACCTGCTAAGGTTGTTTCATTGGTTACAGTCACTGGCTCCAGCACTGGAGAGGAAGAAAACAAATGGTGACTAAATAAAAAAGAGAATAAAGAAAAGTTTGGCCTTTTTGCAACATTTCCCATTTAGCAAATGTACTCTGTGGGCATATGTGTGAAATTTCATCCTGTTATCACTGCACCATGTTTTCACCATTTTTGGCTCGGTTAAAGTAAGAGTAAAGTCCCAGGGTTGACATGCTGACTCATTCAGAGATTCAGCCTGGTAAGAGAGCAGACACTCAGCATTAGCAGGGGAAGCCGCCATAACTAGTGGCGGATTTAACCACCAACAGAAAAAGGGCAAACGGCAGCTTTCACCCCCAACGGCAGAGATCAGTGGCCTGGCTTCTGTGAGAAAGATAACAGATAAAATCATGAACTGAAGCCTTGGCCATGGGAACAAAGGGCTAGTTTAGTCTCTAAATGAGTGGAGAACAGGAGTCTTGGAGGGATGTAGAAGGAGAAGGTCAGCAGCATCTCAGATCATCTATTAGATCAGTGCACTACGAATAACGAGCACATTCGTTAGAGGAGGTTATTCGTGCAGTGGTATTTGAGATGCAATCAGATTCATGAATATCTTACTTCAGATCGGGCCTCCACAGTGATGTCAGCCTCGACAGGATTAAGAGGGGAGGAGCTTCTGGTAGAAGCTGGCGGTGACTCTGATAGGTAGAGTGGGGACGAACTGCGGCTGGCCTGTATCGGGAAGCTGCACACAGGAGATGACATCAGATACATATATGTGGCAATTGCGTCATACAGAACTCTGCAGTCACACGAGATCATCTCAAGAAATAATCTCATGTTGTATGTAGGACCGTATAAATGAATCACTGAATCATGATGCATTGATGTGAAGATTTCTGAATGAATTAAAATGAATTATGATTAGACTAGATCAGATTTGCTATTGTTTTCACAGTCTGTGCCATTTGTACACTGCGGTGAGACATACAGAGATCATTACATTCAAATGGACACCAAATAAACCTGAGCACGGGCAAGCCCACCCATAAAGCACCATCATAGGGCCTATATATATATATATACATGTTACTTCCTCTAAAGGCAGACATTGCAGAACATGTGTTTCAGCGGTTTAGCTTGTTAAGGGCTGGTATGACTGAAGGTAAAGGTGGACAATATGGCAAAAATATAATATTGTGATACTTCAGGAAATGTTCATGATGCACAGTCACTGCGTTCCAAAGTCTGGGCTGCATTTCTCGGCCGCTGTGTCATAGAAGGCCGTTCCAGAGTGAAGGATCCTTCTTATACAGCCTGGAAGTGCAGCGTACGTTCTGAGTGATTTCAAGGACACAGATGTATCATTCCAGGCCTTGGTTACCCACAGTTCTCTGCGACGTGAAGGAAATAAAACAGCACCATGAAAATGGCGGGAAGCGAAGCTGTTGGAGCAGAGCTCGTTTTAAAATGTAAGTTGTTGACGTCCTTCAATTCGTCTTCGTCACCTTATAAAGTGTAAAATGACTGATTAATTAAAGCGTTCGTCCATGTATCGTATATCGTCTGTATATCGTATATTGTCCGTATCGTATATCGTCCGTATATCGTATATCGTCCGTGTATCGTATATCGTCCGTATATCGTATATCGTCCGTGTAACGTATATCGTCCGTGTATCGTATTTTATTTAGAAGTATTTGTGTATGTATGTAGTTTATCATATTAGATAAGAACGTCTCCTCCATTTCCAAAGCAACAAACTCAATCAGGCTCCATTTTCTCTCTCCAGTTCCCTCACGAGTTTGGCGCCACTCTGGTGTCGTCACCACGCATCCTCGTTAGGACTGATCCATCTGTGTGACCAATAGGCTACTAAGGAGGAGTCTTCATAGGACAGCCCTACCGAGGACCCGCACTACCTCAGCTTTGGAACGCAGCTAATATGTCACGACATCTGATCAGTTGGAACAGGAAAAAAGAGCCTGCAGTCCTATATAAAAAAACACTATTGAAAAACTGAACACAATGATTTTTATTCAGTATTTGGCACTAAATCCAGTTAAACTGGACTAATTTTGCTCTCTTTATAATGGAACATGCATTAAGTCAGTCTTACACAAGTACTGACGATATTGATGATACACTGTATGGACACTGTATGGACACCCCTCCTAATTATTGAGTTCAGGTGTTCCTGCCACACCCATTGCTAACAGGTGCACATTGCCTTGCAGTCTCCACAGACAAACACTGGCAGTAGAGAGTCGTACTGATGAACTCAGTCACATTAAACATGACTGTCATAGGATGCCGCCTCTGCCACAAGTTGTGAAATTTCTGTCCTGCTAGATCTGCCCCTGACAACTGTAAATGCTATTATTGTGAAATGGAAGCGTCTAGGAGCAACAACAGCTCAGCCACGAAGTGGTAGACCACCAAACTCACAGAGTGGAGCCGCTGAGTGTCTATCCTCTGTTGAATCACTCACTACAGAGCTCCAAACTGCCTTTGGAAGCAACATTCAGGGGTTGGTCTAGAACCCTTAGTTCCAGTGAAGGGAAATCTTAATGCTTCAGCAGAACAAGACATGAATGTGTTTATAGATGCTTACAAACATGACATTCATAGAAAGTGTTACCAAATTTCTACCACATTGTATTCAAATACAGTTAATCTATGTGGGCCCACACTCTACTCTCTCATGCTTCATAGCAGTTAATGAACAAATTATAGACATTACTGAATAAGAAGTGTTTGTTCCTTTTCATTCACATTCAGCATTATTATATTTTAAGATTTAAGACATTATTATCAATCATCATGTCATAGGATACCACCTCTGTGTAAAGCGCCCCCACTGGACTCTGGAGCAATGAAACGTATTCTGTGGAGTGACCAATCACACGTCTCTATCTGTCAGTCTGATGGACTAGTCTGGGTTTGGCGAATGCCAGGAGAACGTTACCTGCCTGACTGCACTGTGCCAGCTGTAGAGTTTGGTGGAGGAGGGATGATGATATGGGGCTGTTTTTCAGGGGTTGGTCTAGAACCCTTAGTTCCAGTGAAGGGAAATCTTAAAGCTTCAGCACCAAGACATTCTGGACAACTGTACACTTCCAACTTTGTGGAACAGTTTGGGGAAGAACCTTTCCTGTTCCAGCATGACTGAGCCCCAGTGCACAAAGCAGCTCCATAAAGGCCTGACTGGGTGAGTTTGGTGTGGAAGAACTTGACTGACCCTCACAGAGCCCTGACCTCAACCCCATCAAACACCTTTAGGATGATCTAGAACAGAGATTGTGAGCCAGACCCTCTCGTCCAACATCAGTGTCTGACCTCACAAATGCTCTTCTGGATGAATGGGCAGAAATTCCCACAGACTCTCTCCAACATCCTGTAGAAGCTTCCCAGAAGAGTGGAAGCTGTTAGAGCTGCAAAGAGGGACCGACTCCATATCAATGCCTATGAATTTAGAATGGGATTCATAAAAGCTGCTGTAGGCGTCCCGATACTTTTGTCCATGTATTATGTTCAGAAAAGTGTACTGTATTGTATCACAATAATGATATATATTGTCATATTGCGCAGCACTAGCTAAAGGTACAAAACTCGTTGCAAAGCCAGCTTTTTTACACGCCAGTGTTCTGTATCTCTGATCTGATGGAAGTAAGATGAAGTAAAAGTGCAGTGGATGACTGGGGTCTTGTTCTATTGTAAGAGCCCCTCTTAAAATAGCCATAATATTTAGGGTTTACAATTTGTGTGTGGGGAGGCCTTTGATTTTTGAGACGATATCTGTGATGCTTGATTGTTTATCGACACTTTTAACTTTGTGAAGAAACAAGTTATAACAATACAACATGATAGACTCAATTATGCTTCTATAGAGGAGTAAGAGGAATGAAGGTGCTACATTTGGTGTCTTTAACTTTCTAATGACAGAAAGTCTTTGCTGACATCTCTTGTACAGGGTCAATTACATGCTGGTCAAAGCTGATTTTATTGTCCAGATTGAGTCCAAGGTACCTTCCTGGTAATCCATTCAAGGTGTGAAATAAACTGAAAACAAAATCAAAATTCTTATGACGTTATGATGTCATTGTTTATCTGCTTCCCCCACAATCAGCTTCTGTCTTTCGTGTTCTTAACTAACTAGAGCTGCAGCACTGCTCTGCCTCAGGGTGGCGCTGTAGCAGACTGGGTCACCCAGTCGGTCTTTCATAGTCTAGAAACTGTAACTCTGCCCGGATTCCTCTGAAAAACTTTACAATGAGCTGCAGCAGATCTGTAAATCTGAAAACTCGCCCAGTTTCCCAAGAGTTTGGAGTGAAGAGTGACTGTTCCTCATTTCTCACACTGAAGACAGAAGAGGAGACGAGGAAGATCTCAGTTACTGTGAGGAAGAGCGCAGAACCGCACTAGAACAGAGACTCTACAGAAGAGGAGACGAGGAAGATCTCAGTTAATGTGAGGAAGAGCGCAGAACCGCACTAGAACAGAGACTTTACAGAAGAACAGCTGATAAAACAGACATTTACTGACATTAAAGCATCAGCGCCGCTATGGAGAGAGAGATAGCAGACAGACAACAGGGGACCCCCGAATACCAGGGGGGATTTCATACACTGATTCCATCCATTTTTGACTAAAATAAAGTAAATGGGCTAATATAAAATATAAAAAGTTTATTTTTATATTTCACCACTATGCAAGTTGTTCCTCCAATCACATTTGTGTCTTTAAAGTTTAATTGGGGTAATATATGATATTTCATAACGCATTAAACAGTTTTCTGAATAATCATACATAAATTGTTGTGAGTTTTACTTTTACATTCATAGTTCTGGAAGCAAATTTCCAAACAGTCAAATCAATTTCCAGCAAGCTGTTGTAGCAAATTGGTTCTCAGGTCTAAACATCCATCCATCCATCCATCCATCATCTAAACCGCTTATCCTTCTGGGTCGCGGTGGGGTGCTGAAGCCTATCCCAACTGTCATTGGGCGGAAAGTCTAAACAGTTCTCTGTTAAAGTTTCTGCTAATACCCTGCTGCCTTACCTCAGCTCCTCCCCGTCCAGGAGTGACCAGTAGGTGGCGATTTCAGCCCCAAGGGCTAGCTTCATGTCCAGCAGCTCTTTGTGGCTCATGATCTCTTCATGCAGGTCACATTTTGCTGCCTCAATCGCAGCTTCTAGCCCAGCAATCTGAGCCTCGTACCTGGAAGCTATTGAGGTCGCCCGAGACCGAGCTTCAGCCAGACTCCGCCTTAAGCTTCGGTTCTGGAGGAGAAAAGAAGAAGCAAGTAAATGAAAACGTGTTAACAGTTGACTCAGTTTGAGTCAGTTGTGTTCGTTGTGTTTAGCTGGTGAATTTGCTATCTAGCTAGGCTGCCATTTTAAATAAGAATGTGTTCTTAACGACCTACCCGGCTAAATTAAAGGTTAAATCAAAAAGCTGGCTAATAGGTTGCCAGCTACAAATACTGTGTTGTAGTAAAATGTGTAAGGAGTAGCAGTAAAGCTGTCTAAGTAAGAACCTACCTTTTACTATGTAATCCCTATATAACCAATATGTAGAAAGAATTTGACCCCATGAAATGTTCTTGTATGATTGATACTTTGGTCACTGCCACTACTGTCTTTCACATGTATTCAATTAAAAACAGCACAAAGAGGATAGATTTAATATTTCACCCTATCAATGTTATTGATTTTTGTAAATATATGCTAATTTCAAATGTGAGGCCTGCAATACATTCCATAAAAAATGGGACAGGGGTATTGTACGACTGGAAAGTTGGGACAACAACAGGAAAACACCCGTTTCTGAACTTTCCCCAGGTGAACAGCTGAATAGGTAACAGGTGATGCTACCATGACTGGATATAAAAGCAGCATTCACCAGGCTCCGTCACCACTTAGTGAAAATCTGTGTGAGCGAATAGTCCAACAGTTTTAGAACAACATTTCTCAATGCACGACTGCAGCGAATTCAGAGATTTCACCATCGACAGGCCATAACATCATTAAAGATTCAGGGAATCTGGAGAAATCTCTGTGCGTAAAGGACCTTCACCTTTGACCCCTCGGACAGCACAGCTTCTGTAATGACTATAACCATCTGGGCACAGCAATACTTTGGAAAACCCTTGTCGGTAAACACACTTCGTCACTGCATCTACAAATGCAAGTTAAGCTCTAGTATGCATATGGATCATTCTCCATTTGGAGCGGGAATTCAGGTGGATACATTTTTTCATCCCAAAACTAAATAATCTTAATATGTCCATTAAAATCTCCTATTATCATTTATGCAGAAAGGAGCTGAATTCCAAACATGTTCTACAGTCACTGGTGTTGTATGAATATGGTGTAACTCCAGTGACGGTGACTCCAGTGACTTTCTGGTTAAAACTGAGGATTCTGTAAATGGGCTGACTCATTGTTGGTCAGGTGACCTTGTGAACTGTTTAAAATCAGTAATAAAAATGATACTTTGTCATTATTTTGACTACATTTTAATTACCCAGCCATTAAAGTACAAAACACCAGTGACACATAGAAGTTATGAGCTGCCTGAAAAACAAAATTATTAATAAATAAATGAAAACATAGTGAGCCAGTGTGACTCACCTTCTCATGCCTTGAGATGCTTCCTCTCTGATGAGCCTCAACCCAAAGAGGCAGTTTAATAGAGCTGAAAATACTGTGTTAAAATCTAAAATAAGAGTCCTGATAATACCAGTGAGCAAAATCTCTGAGACAAATGAATGTTTTAAATAAAATAATTTTTTTTAAATGCAGTATAACGTTAATGATATAAAATATATGAATTTTAAGTTAAACCTATTAAAATAAAAATATTGTTTTATATTAAAAAAGGTTTCTCAGATGTTGAAAATTGGTTTTGTGACGAGCTGTTTTACAGACGCAGAGCGAATATGAAACAGGATAAAGAAAGACAAATCAGAGAATCATAAAGGAAAAGTGTTATTTAATCTGAGCTCAGCTGTGTAAATGTACATACTGACTTTTGGAGCTGTGCCTCATATTTTAAAAATCTTTTTAAGCCCTGCAGCCTTTGTGACTTGGTTTCCCACTCCAGATGGAGAATGACCCATATTCATACTATGCATATATCAGCAATATCCAGAAACGTGACCAACTTCTCCTGCTTGCGTCCCTGCTTGTTTTTTAGCAACACAGCGTGGCTTCATATTAAGAAAGTGCAGCTGCTAGACTGACCTGCCTGCAGTCCAGACCTGCCACCCACTGAAAATATGTGGCACATTATGAAGAGCAATATACAACAAAGGACACTGTTGATCAGCTGAAGTGTTTCACACTTTCACAACTACAACAATGTTCTCAGTTCCGAACATGTTGCATGCGTCAAATTTCGAATGAGCATGTATATATATATAATTAACTTTATTTTATATATATACTATATATATATATATATATATATATATATATATATATATATATATATTTTGCACATGTGATTGAATTAAAAAACAAAAAATTCAAAGATTTTTTATAATTCTTAGATTATAAGAAGTTCCTTGAGGTTCAGCAACACCAGAAAACTCATTGTGGTGCACTCCCAGTCCCAAAGACACCTGGGATTCATTAGAGCACTTACTTGGTGAGTAGTGATGTTTACATGGTCCAAATTAGCGATATTAATTATTATCCCATTATCCATTATCTTCTACCATTCACTCAACTTACACTAGAGCCCAAGTCAGGCTCGTGGCACAATCCTATTCTGACCGCAAAATGATTGTAATTTTCTATTAATATTATCCCATTTCAACATTAGCTGCACTACATTTCCCAGCATGCACTGCAAAGAAAAAAAAAAAGAAGTTCAAGCAAATGGGCAGTTTTAAAAACCCTGCTGTCCACTGGGGACACTTAAAGAGGTTTAACAATATCTGCAGCTAATGTGGTCTACTGCTTCATATAAAACTATTTATTTTCACTTAAAATTACTTTCGAATCGTTTGAGGATTCAGTGCGTATTTTATGCCCCTGTAGTTTTGGCATATTGTGAATAAACAAAGGCCAGTCGTGGCAGACCTGTTGAGACTTTGTCATTCGGCCCTTTTAGTGGCTGTTTGATGCCCCTGCACTAGGTAAACACTCAACTTACAAGGCTTAGTGACATGTTGTGGTGCATTCATCTGTTTGATCAGTCAACTTGAGACGAGCGCATCCCACAACAATCCCCATGAATCATGCTCTTCTGTGTAAAACCATGGTTTCGAGGGACTGTGTAGACGACGTAAAAGTCCCTTCGACAAACGAAAGGATGTGAGATGTTTGGCGTTTAAAGCCAGCCGGCAACAGTGATCAGCCCAGCCGTCCTGTAGGCTGTTTCATAGTGTGCAATTGATGGGGGGGGTTTCTGATGGCAGGCATGGTAGAAAAAAAGCTGTATAAAGCACAGCAGCCATCAACCACTTCCTGTCTGCTGTTCCTGTGCACTGAGATTTATTTCATACTTCTTCCGTGGTAATCGACGTCAGCAGCCGTCGTCAGCAGGTCCAAAAGCTGTTACTGGATAAAACAGTCTGCTTTGAGCGCTGCTGGGAAGGAGTGAGCCTGTGATTCACCGTCTGAGGCTCACTTTCACTACCAGGCGGTGGTGAGGAGACATAAGCTAGCGTGCAGATTCAAAACTTGGGTGCAGCGGTTTCACAGGAACAAATCTAACGCATCACGCCTGGGCCAAAGTAACACAGCTGTTGGTGTTGTTAAATATGCTTTCGGAAACTACCGTCTCTCTCTCTCTCACGCACACAGTGATAAATATAAACTCACCACGCTGATAAGGTTGTGTAGCTGTATTAAAAGGGTCTGTAGTTTCCTTCTACAGGCTGCAGTCAGTTCAGTAGACAAGAGAGGCGGCAGAAGAGCCAGACTGCCTCTCTGAGTCTTCTTCTTCTGGAAAACAAGCAGAGAACAGATGTGAGCTCCAGTTGTACAACATACTTCATAAACAACTTCCTTATTTTGATTTAAGATAAAGAATTAATACACTGAATTGTCCGTTTGTTAGGCGCACCAGCTTTCTACCTTTAATCCTTTGGACGTTTTATTAGAAACACCTACCTTATAGGTGCACTTTGCAGAGAATGGTCCACTAATCAAATATGTATCATAACTTGTTAGTGGTGGTCCTGTGGTGGTCTCTTTTCCAAAAAGAAACCACCTTGCCCAGCATTTGTGCTGACGGGATGTCTAAAGCTAGACTATGGTTGTAGAACATTCAGGAGGGACGTAAAGGGGACGGGATCGGTAGTCTCCTGCACCACACTCGTTCTGTAGGGCTTGGGAATGTGATGTCATTACAGAGTGTCACAGCTTGTGCAGCAAAAATTCATATTTCGACTTCTTAACAACTTCATAATTCAGAGAATCCAGTGACACGTTTAAATGCAGCCTGATAATCCGTTAATAATCCGTCTAACAGCTCAATCAGAATAGAATACGTCCATGTAGACACCTCAGTTGGAATAGGCTAGTCTGATTGAGGTCATTCAGAATACAGTTTCTATCCGACTGATCGAGGTGGGTAATCCTGTAAATAATCTGTTAAATAGAAGAATAATATCTGTGTAAACGCCTGTATCTGATTACGTTCCCTATCAGAAAGTTTAAGTCCGTTCTGATCATGTTCGTCGCGTCATACTGAAAGTTTATACCGTTCAACATGGCGGAGCAGAAACTGGTCTGCAGAGGAGACGAAGTTTATCCTCTGATCTTTAAAAGACGGCGGTGGGACGGACGTCCAGCTTACGTGTCTCAGAACACGACGTCTTCCTCTCGGCCTTCTTTAATAAGGACGTGTGAAGGACGTTTTCCTGAGTCTGACATCATTTTAAAGCAATTATAAACACAAGCGCTGCTCACTGCTGCTCGTCTCACTCTGACTGGACTTACGTGATGCTGGTTGTCATGGTAACATCTACACTAATGCGTATAATTTTAGGTTGGATTACTTGTACTTCAGATTGTTGAATAGAGTGAGAATTAACACCTCAGTCTTAATCTATAATCGGAATGTATTCGATCAGGCTGGCAAAAATCTTCAAACACAGCCGTTCAGAGGACTAAAGTACATCAGATAAAATGTAGCGAGTTTAGAACCACTTTGTTGATCCCAGGGCGCGACAGCGCTGATTTTCAAAAATCTCATGTACGGTACAGTAATAGTATCTTTAGCTCGACAACTAGAGAGACTAGCAGTGTTTGCTAAAAGTCTACCTACAGTACAGAATAGTAGAACTAAGTGAAATACACTATGTGGACAAAAGTATGTGGACACCTGAGCATTACACCTATATTGGAGTGGCCAGGCGTCCCCGTTTGCTGGGAACAGCCCCCATTTTTAGTGGGGCTGTCCACGGAAATGTCCCAGTTTTAACTGTGAACCAAAAACACACCAGAAAAGCCCTAAGAAAGACCTGCAGGAGCGCAGACGGGCTGGGCTTGTTTGGCCAGAGAGAAAAGTGCAGCCCCGCCTCTCAACCTCCTTGCAAACCGCAATTTTTTTTGAGAGAAGTTATGTCCCGACTCAGCTCTGCGATTTCGGCTCAAAAGATGTGTTAAAGGTCCCCTTTTTCAAAATAAAACAAGTTCATTCAATTATATAAGCATTTAGTCACTTACTGTTTATATGTCTGTGCAATAGAATATCGTTGCATGTGTTTTTAGAACAATTTTGCTTGCTGTTTTGCAGGAGTTGCATTAAGGTGGAATGTTAATAGTGAAGTGAGAGGGTGGATGATAGTTGTCCGCAGAGCATTCCCTCATTTTTTTGCTTAGTCTGATGAGATTAAACCTGATTAAACCAACCAGTGATGATATGTGGTGGTTTTTAGAGCAGCGCTGGAACTTTAACTCCCTTCGTTCACTGTCGTGCACATGGCAGCTGGGCGAACTCTGCGGACAAAGGTGCTACACAATAAAGCCTGTGGTTGGTCGGTAAAAAGGAGCTGTGCCGTGAAACAAAGACTGACGACTTTAAGGAGCTTCACTGCGCAAGACATGCTAAGCACTTTGGCAGAGACACCACTGTTTCACTGTGAAAGGCGCATTTGTTAAATAAACAATGAAAACCTCCTAAATGTAACATGTTAAGTCTGTTATTCGGTAGTGCTGACTAGGATTAGCCTTATATTTAGGTTCACAAGAGGACGAGGCTGAAGTTGGCTTTCTATTTGCCAGCTTCTTGTTCGAATTTTCCCATTCCACCTTAAATGCTAAATTTAAATTTAAATTCAATGCTAAATTTCCTTCGGGATCAATAAAGTATTTGTCTGTCTGTCTGTCTGTCTATCTATCTGTCTGTCTATCTATCTAACTAAATGGTGGCGGTATTCTGGACTCGCACGTCACCACAGTTAGAACTGTGATAGAATCGTTTTCCACTAGTCATGGGACGTATCATAAAATCTCATAGCATCACCTGCATTAGTGGACGAGCAACACGGAACTGCAGAGCGTAAGTGAGCTGTAAGCTCGCAAAGATGCTTTTGGCTATGCTGAGGCCTTAAAACACAGGGGACGCCATGATCTGCTGCAAGAAAGTAAAACACCCCCCCCAACCCCATGTCGGCCTTTACCATGGGTTAGCACAGTACAGCAGTTACCATGGTCTGGAAACTGGAACCTGTTTTCGGACCCCTTATTTATGTCATAGATAAAAACATTGGATATTTTTACAATATATTGACCGCCGAATTGGAAATGTCTTCATTTCAGAAATCTGGTCACCTTAAACTATATGAGCTGGACATCCCATTCCACAATCATGGGCACTAATATGCTAATATGCAGTTGCAGTGCTGAGAATGACCCACCACCCAAATAACACCTGCTCTGTGAGGGTCCTGTGGGGGTCCTGACCACTGAAGAACAGGGTAACAAAGCATGCAGAGAAACAGATGGACTACAGTCTGTAACTGTAGAAACTACACAGTGAAACTATATGGTCAGTGGAGCTGATAAAGTGGACAGTGAGTGTAGAAACAAGGAGGTGCTTTAAAGTTAGGGCTGATCATTGTTTATCTGAGCTTTATGCACCATCTGAGTGCCCTGGATTTACATTCAGGACAGTCTGAGTGACAGGATTTAAAGTGCTTGCATGTCTGGCAATATTATTAGCAACCTGATTACATATCTAACTGCTATATTATGAGGAAGTGAAACCCAGTAATGTTTTGAACATGCTGGGCAAAAGTGGTGGGAAAATCTGTTAACAGATGAGGCCCTCTCACACACACACACACACACACACACACACGCACACACACACGCACACACGCACACACACGCGCACGCGCACACACACGCACACACACACACACACGCACACGCACACACACACGCGCACGCGCACACACACACACACACACACACACATACTTTGTACCATGCAACGATGCTGGCATATAGTCTGAGGGCAGACTGTGGTTTTACGATAGTTTCAGTAAAAACATTCTGAAGGACTCGGGCGGATGCCGTTACCACACCAACAATACGGAAAAGGACAGGGCTCAGTGGGCTCCTGATCTGAGCTCGGTGTACATGACATGCAGAATATGCTTTTCTGAGCATATCACCAGTAAAAACACTGACTAACTGCATGTTTTATTACAAGGTTAGCATATTTAGGCCTGTCTGACTGGATTCAGTGCAGTGCAGTTGGTAAAACACTGAATAAAAATCATTATAGCTGTAGGTTTATTATTATTAACATTATTATTATAGTAGTTTTATTTGTGGACGAATGTGCTAGAGACAGTTCTATATAGAACCTTCTTGAAAAGGGTTCTATACAGCACCCAAAGGGGTTATTCTATTGTTATAAGCTTGACATTGCAGCAATAGAAGAACCCTTTTGGGTGCTATTTAGAATCCTTTTCAAGAAGGTTCTATATAGAACTGTCTCTAGCACATTCGTCCACAAATAAAACTACTATAATAATAATGTACATAATAATAAACCTACAGCTATAATGATTTTTTTTTAGCACTTACAAAACCATCTACAGCACGTTCTCCATCAGTCTAAAGAACCGTCTTTTTCTAGGTGTGTACTAAAGAACTCTTTTCATGATGGTAGTTCTACTCAAACATGGGAGTTGTTTCAAATTCAGTTACACGGTGAGGTTTTGTACATTTTTATAGCTTATGGTCAAAATCCTGAGGCCGATCTAAAATGTATTAAAAAACATACACTCTGCATCCCTTTGACAGCCAATACACACACACACACACACACACACACACACCACACACACACACACGCACACGAGTGCACACACGCCATACCACACTCGCATATGCATATCACTGCTGAGCTACCACTGGACGATGAAGCTGGTGGTTCAGATTCAGAGCTTTCTCTCTTTCCAGAGCCTTTCTTTTCCAAAACCGTTCTATGCTAGTTTGTGTGCATCACTCTCATAATGTACTGCGCGGTTATGAAAAATAAAAAACACTGTAGGAGGATATTTATGTCGTAACCCCAGCGTTGATGTTGTGACACAGGGAAAGGGGCAAGCAAGACAAATTTTGACGATGTATGAAGCGGCTAATAATCTGCGTTTTCATTGAAAGTTGCACATTATTTTTTTTCTATTACGTCAGCTAGGCTCAAATATGTTTCTGACAGCACCCCCTGACAAAGTCAGATGTCACCGCAGGGTTCTCGGGTGAGAAAGGCTGCCCTCACGTCTGTGCAACCTTAACGAAGACCTGTTTGTAGGTGTGACCTGGACTAGCACTGGGGATGTATTTGCAGAGAAGATTTGGGTGACTATTGAATTCTAGTGTTTGTTAGAAATGTTAGCCCTGTAGCTCCAGCGCTAAACTAAAGAAGCAAATTGATCGACTGCATCTGAGCCAAGTGGAAAACTGTATAGACTTTTCATCTAAACATTGCTTAAATCACTAAGACTGACACGTGCTGCAGTTAAAAAAACAACACTTTGCTGACTGCGGTTATCACCACGTGTGATTCTTTGGCCCTGTGAGATTTAATCTATGGTGGAAAATTGAGGTTTCACTGACAACTGACAAAGGTGTTTGCGCGCGTGTGTGTGTGTGTGAGTGTGTGGGTGGGTGTGATTAACTTTATCTGCTGCGATTGAAACAGGTTTCACAGGCGGAGAACAAAATCTCTGCTGCATCGCCAAAGGACTTTATACCGAATAAACACTTTTAATGACATTTCAGACGTTTTACTGAAACATTCTACAACAGCAGGGTGACTAAATTATAGCTGACCGCTCTCATCCTGGACATCACCTCTTCCAGACTCTCCCCTCTGGTTGAAGACTCAGCTGTATTACAGTAACTACTCTGGAATAGAACGATTATTTATGCTAATTTTCATGATTCTATGTACAACCCCATTTCCAAAAAAGTTGGGATGCTGTGCAGAATGCAATTAAAAATAGGATGCAATGATCATGAAAAGCATATTTTGGTAAACCGTATTTTTAAATGAAAATACTACAACGTATCAAGTGTTGAAATTGAGAAATTGTATTGTTTTTTGAAAAAAATTTGCCCATTTTGAATTTGTTGCCAACAACACGTTCCCAAAAAGTTGGGACAGGTTCATGTTTACCACTGTGATTCATCACCTCTTCTTTAAACAACACTCTGTAAGTGTTTGGGAACTGAGGAGACACTGCTGTAGTTTAGAAAGTGAAATGTTTTCCTGTTCTTGTTGATATAGGATTTCAGCTGCTCATCAGTTCGGGGTCTCATTTGTCATATTTTTCATTTCATAATGCGCTGAATATTTTCAGTGACAGATCTGGACTGCAGGCAGGTCAGTTTAGCACCCGGACTCTTTTAATACGGAGCAATGCTGCTGTAATACATTACATACAGAGTCTTTTAATGTTATTATGTACCGTAGATGATAAACAACAAAATTTGTTTGCTATTTTATGTTGAGAAACGTTACTCTTGAATTGTTGCACTATTTGATGGTGCAGTCTTTCACAGAGTGGTGAACCCCTCCTCATCTTTACTTCTGAAAGACTCCGCCTCTCTGAGATGCTCTTTTATGCCCAATCATGTTACTGACCTGTTGCCAGTTAACCACCAGGTGTTTTTTTAGCTTTACACAAGCTTTTTTGGAAATGGGGTTGTAGAATCATTTGCTTTACTAAAGAACCTTTGAAGCACCATCTTTGTTTAAGTTTTGAAAGAGTGTGTGTGTGATATACATATATATATATATATATACACATATATATATATTTATACGGAAATAATTAATATATATTGAATGAATTGTATTATGTATATATATGTATGTATGTATATACAACAAACACCAGGATGAGCTTAAAAGAAGGGGTTTCTAATATATATATTGCATTTTCCATGATATAATTACCAACTGAAATAGCTTCTAACAAACAAGTAAACAAACAAACAAAACAGTTTCTTGGTTTCACCCACAACAACTGGCACTTTGATGACCTTAGCTCGTTAGCAAATGTGACCTTTTCACGCTGTGAAATTTTATCTCTGGAGGGAAATCAAGAAACAGATGACAAAGACATGTGAGAGTGTGTGTGTGGACCAGGTTTATCCCACATTGTGGGGACCAAAACCTGTTTATACACTCACACTGTGGGGAATTTCTTCCTTGTGGGGACCACAACATAAATCATTACATTTAAATTAAGATTAAGGTGAGGATTAGGCTAGTAGTAGTACTAGTCTCCAGGAAATGAATGAAAGTCTATGTAATTGTCCCACAATTCACAGAAACAAGATTGTGTGTGTGTGCGTGTGTGTGCGCGTGTGTGTGTGCGCGCGCGCGTGTGTGTGTGTGTGTGTGTGTGTGCGCGTGTATGTGTGCACGCGTGTGTGAGATTAACTTTATCTGCTGTGGTTGAAACACTGGTTTCACATGCTGGGAACTGTCTAACTCACTTCTATCCCACATTCTTTAAAAATCTAAACTGTAAGATTATTAATTGACATCTAATCTCTGAAGTACATGGCAAAATGTATCACATCACACTATGACATGAAGGGGTTCTCACAGGAAACTTGGATGACTCAAAGTTCTGGTCCATAACACATCTTTACTTGGCTTCACAGCGTACAGAAAAGGGGGAAACAGTTTTTTTTTAGGCTCACAGCTCTTACTGTTAGCTGGCTCTAGCTCTCTCTAGCTCTGCTACAACAGCCACCACCTAAACAGAGCCCAGCCCCGCCCTTCACAACAAAAGTCCCTGCAAAAGACCAGAGTCTAAGCTTTTCTGATGTGACCAAAAATAAATAACCAAAGCTTAGCATGCCCGAAACACTGTGGCAACAGCTACCAGATTATTTTTTAACTAAACAGAACACAGGTTCGCTCTGACTCCACGATGCTGTGACCAGTTCTGTAATGCATGCAAATCCAGTACTGTACAAAAAATCCACCCTTCATTTATTCAATTTCCAGTCAAAACAGCATGCAACCAGCTTCTAAGACTGAACTTGGAAAAAATGGAAGCTGAAATAATGGCAAAGACTGAACACCAAATACTGAAAAACGAAATATTATATGTAGTTGTTGAGGCTTCTGTTTAATTTTCTGTTAAATATATAATTAAATAAATGAAGGTAGGGACTTCTTCACAGCACTGCAGGCTTAATAAAATATATCTTATTAGTGTTTAAACTATGAAAAACTCAGGGGGTGTATCTGTAAAGCCCACAGCATACGCAGCCCACCTTCTCCAACAAACGTCCACAAATCTAAACTCTGGGCTGTTATTCTAGAACCTTTTCCTGTTTTCCTTCATTCACGCCGGTTCATGTGATTTGTCATTTTTTTTAAAACATTAAAAATCCAGCTGCCAACATTAGAATGTCAGTGTTTGTTGCAGTGTTGAGTCAGTGGGCGTCTCAGCCTCCTCAAACTACAAGTGAACCTCCACGTCTCACCAACATTGTTAATTACGGATTTAAAGACAACCTGAAATCAAAATGAACCTTTTTTACCTCATCAGTTTATGCCCCTGGCCATATTACCCATGATTCATCTTACTATAACACCTAGCATGACTTTTTTCAGCCTCCTGAATCAACATGGTGTTTTTTTTTGGTAAAAATCTGGTGTGCACCGGATACTATGTGGTGAGCACCAGATACTATCAGATGATCACCAGACATCAGATACTATCAGATGAGCATCAAAAAAATACACCACATCCATTTCAGGTGCTCACCCGATAGCATCTGGTGCAGACCACATAGTATTTGGTGCTCACCTCATAGTTTATGATGTGCACCTGATAATATCTGCTGCTCACCACATAGTATCTGATGCACACCTGAAAACACCTGCACTAATCTAGGCCCTTTAAAACACCTGGACTAATCTAGACCCTTTCCAATATCCACCTGGACTAATCTAGGGCCTTTAAAACACCTGGACTAATCTAGACCCTTTCCAATATCCACCTGACTATCTAGGGCCTTTAAAACACCTGGACTAATCTAGACCCTTTCCAATGTGCACCTGGACTAATCTAGGGCCTTTAAAACACCTGGACTAATCTAGACCCTTTCCAATTTCCACCTGGACTAATCTAGGGCCTTTAAAACACCTGGACTAATCTAGACCCTTTCCAATTTCCACCTGGACTAATCTAGGGCCTTTCCAATATCCACCTGGACTAATCTAGACCCTTTCCAATATCCACCTGGACTAATCTAGGGCCTTTAAAACACCTGGACTATTCTAGACCCTTTCCAATTTCCACCTGGACTAATCTAGGGCCTTTAAAACACCTGGACTAATCTAGGGCCTTTCCAATATCCACCTGGACTAATCTAGACCCTTTCCAATATCCACCTGGACTAATCTAGACCCTTTCCAATATCCACCTGGACTAATCTAGGGCCTTTAAAACACCTGGACTAATCTAGACAATTTAAAACACCTGGACTAATCTAGACCCTTTCCATACAACTATGCCTTTAAAACACTGGACTAATAACTAAAACCCGGACTAATCTAGACCCTCTCCAACACCCACCACAGACTGATCACACCCCCCTTTTCCATCACTGCACTTTAAATCCTTTAATGATTTAAATGCTGCTATGAAACTCAGTCTTTCTGTACAGTTTACAGTGACAATGTTTACACTGGTTCCTTCATCACTAACATGTTGCTTGATGCCAATACGCGTGTGTGTGTGCGTGTGTGTGTGTGTGTGTGTGTGTGCGTGTGTGTGTGTGTGAGAGTGTGTGCGTGTGTGTGTGTGTACATACACATGATGCCCAATCGTCTGTACTGTTTTGTTGTCCTGACTAGTATTTATTGTATTTACTGTCCTGTATATTTATTATCAGGTGTGTTTACTGTATATTCTGCATTTGTTTCACAGGACACTCTGTGTAGTTCTGTGTGATGTGCTGCTGTTGCGTGTTTGAAGCCTGAAGAACCTCATTTTGTTCCAATGTACACAAGTTATATTGAGGAATGACTTTAAAGACCACTTTACTTGACATGACTCTGTCCTATAGTGTTTTCCAGTGGGCTCACTGGCTTGTCAGTCCTTAATCTGGAGGGGTAAAATATGAACTCTGAAATTTGGTGGGGACTGTTGGTTCAGTGTGCCGCAGCCTTGCAGCAGAACAGCTCACCTCCTGCAGGACTTTGGTGATGAAACACAGCTCCTTCCACAGTTGTGCTCTCTTAGCCTCTAGCTTCAGATGCACCCTTGATGTCATCTCAATATCCTAGAGAGGACAAAGGTCTTAGATGTGCAAAGACTGTCCTTCCTGTCCTTGAGATGAAAATGAAAGCAATCCTCACACATTCTAAATACAGGGTGGCCCAAAAAAATTGACATCATTTCGAGCCAATTCTCCCTCAAATGATCTCGAATTTTAGCGAAATGTGTAAAAACTGACCAAGTTTAATTTTTAATGTTTTTTTTGGTAACACTTTCTATGAATGTCACCTTTGTAAGCATCTAGAAACACATTCATAACACGTTATAATGCATTTATAAGGAATTATAAACATGGCTATAAATATTTATAAGAATGCATTACACGTTATAACCATGCTTATTATGCATTATGAATTGTTACCATAATACATTATAAGTACTGTTCATAACAAATTATAAGAGCTCATAAGTCGTATTAGTCCGCTCTAAGTAAAGTGAAGCGTACTGTACTAAAGCCTCCTCCAGTGTTCAGAGTGAGGCTTCAAGTTGAAGTTTTTACTGAAGGATTTACTGAAACACTAAAACATTCACAGTAAAGCACATTACAGGCTTCAAATGTCAGAGTTTAAACTAGAGCTGCCATCAGTGTTTTACCCAATGTGGGAAAGGTAATGTTCACCACCGTTAGCTTGGTATTTGTCTTTACTTTATGCTCTCCAAGCTGGGACTGACTTCTTTGGCACTGACAGTATAACATGTTATCAACACTACTTATAATGCATTATATTAACAATTCAATGCTTACAAACGTGACATTCATAGAAAGTGTTACCTTTTTTTTTTCAGGTTGAAGAACGGCGCTCACTAGAAATGAAAAGGCACTTTGTGTGTTAGAAGATGCTCGAACGCAGTCAAACAAGAGTGTGCAGTGCGCATTTTCCAGAAAATTCAATAAAATGCACCAACTGGAAAGCAGATTTGGACACGGCACAAAAAATTCAGAGAGGAAGGCTGTCTGCGTAGGACAAAGGGATCTGGACGATCACCAGTATCGGGAGATATTACATTTGTGAAGCTGTGAAATCGGTTATTAAATCTACATCCCTCTGAATTTCTTGTTCAAATATTGATAAATAAATCTTGATTGTTCAACATGAAGCCTGTTTAATTTCATTTGCCAGGACATGCAGTTACTCAGATACTCACATCTCAAATGATGTCAATTTTTTGGGACACCCTGTACATGACTAATCTGTACATTTCTAATGTATTATTAGTGTATTAAATGTATACATGCTGTACACCATTTTTTCCCTTCGACAATACAAAAATAATCATGTAGAGAGACAAGTAAAGTCATAATTTTAAAAATCTGTTCATCGAGGATCAAAAGGATACCAGCTGTGACAGTTCACATCAAAGACAGGTCTTTGGTATCACCTTCTTCATAGCAGCAATGCCGGCCTCCAGCTGGAACCTGATTACCCGTTCAACATCGTATCTGTGGATTCAGACAACACTAACATTCAGCATTCAATATCCATGAAAACCTTCTGCAAACGTTATGGGAAAAGATGGACTGTAGTGCTAGAAGCTGATACAGCCAGCATAGGTAAGTAACGTAGATACTTACCAGAATAGAGTCGGCTCAGGTCTGAGATATACCAAATGAAATCAATGTGATTTTTCCATTTTTAACCATCTTTCTACTGTTATTTTATGTTTTAAGTGTCCTACTATGTTATTTTCCATTTTCATGTGTTTTGTTTTTCTTTTATTTTTATTTTTTTGTGTTTTTACAGTTATTGTTTTATTGACTGTTATTACATTTGTATGTATGTACAGTATGTCACCTATACCCCAGGAGGAATAGTTGCTATCGTGATAGCAGCTAATGGGGATCCTAAAAATCAACAAATAAACTAATTTTCATAGCTATGGATTTAGCCCTGGGCTGTAACGCTAGAAGCTGATACAGCCAGCATGAACATGCAGAAGAGACTGGAATCCTGTTTCTACTGCCTTACTGCAAGTCATGCTTGTGTCCATAATGAGTTGGGGGATGAGCTTTGGGTGAAGAAGAAAGTAAAATATGGTGAGAGACAAACTCACTGCACTGTGATTAGGATCCACACTGAACTTTAACATGAGATCTGCAGCACTGCTGTGATGCCTGTGTTGGTCAACAGTGCTCATTATCACTTGTTTTGCACCAGTGGCTGAATCAACACACCAACACATCAACACACCATCCTACACACTTAAAATGATGGTTCTTCAAGGGTTCTTTAGTAAAGAAAATGGTTCTATATAGAACCATGAACATTCAAAAACCCTTTCCATGATTAAAGGGTTCTTTGCATCATGAAAGCGTTCTTCAGATTAATGGAGAATGTACTGTAGATGGTTCCATATATAACCTTTTTGAAAAGGGTTCTATATAGGACCAAAAAGGGTTCTTTTCTTGTTACAATGCCAGGCTTGGTACAATGGTGTTAGGTGGTGTAGAGGGTGGCTGATATGGTCAGTAATGTCTACCTACAAAGTGCATCTATATTGCAAGTGTTTAGGTACAACAGCCAATGTGTGCACATTCAGTAAACTTAAACTGGAAACTCTGTATGTTGATCAAATCTGAATAAATTAAAAGAGAAAATCTCTGCTGGGCTTTGGCCACTTACAAGATGTCCACTACGACTGGTCAGGTAAATGATCATGTCAATGTTGGTGATATCTGTGGATTTAGGGCACTAACCATCAAACACAGAGCATAATGACTAAACAGTTCTTGGTTTCACTGGAAAATCATTCATCAAAAAATTTAACACTTCTTGTGGGGTCCCACAAGGTTCTGTTTTAGGGCTTTTCTCTTTGTATGCTACCTCTAGGTGATGTCATCAGGAAACATTATATCAATTTTCAATAATGTTTAAAAAACTTATAAAAACTAATAAAAAAATTGCTAAAAGGACATTATTTAACCAATATAAAGATCAGTTAGGTGGATAGGTCCTTGATAGTTGGAACAATACTATGGTGGAGTTTCATGGGGGGGAGGGACGTAGATACTTACCGGAATAGAGTCGGCTCAGGTCTGAGATATACCAAATGAAATCAATGTGATTTTTCCATTTTTAACCATCTTTCCACTGTTATTTTATGTTTTAAGTGTCCTACTATAATATTTTCTTGTGTTTTGTTTTTCTTTTATTTTTATTTTTTAGTGTTTTGACTGTTATTGTTTTATTGACTGTTATTATATTTGTATGTATGTACGGTATGTCACCTTTACCCCAGGAGGAATAGTTGCTATCGTGATAGCAGCTAATGGGGATCCTAAAAATCAACAAATAAACTAATTTTCATAGCTATGGATTTAGCCCTGGGCTGTAGTGCTAGAAGCTGATACAGCCAGCATGAACATGCAGAAGAGACTGGGATCCTGTTTCTACTGCATTCCTGTAAGTCATGCTTGTGTCCATAATGGGGGGGGGTGTAGTTGGGGGATGAGCTTTGGGTGAAGAAAAAAGTAAAATATGGTGAGAGACAAACTCACTGCACTGTGATTAGGATCCACACTGAACTTTAACATGAGATCTGCAGCACTGCTGTGATGCCTGTGTTGGGTCAACAGTGCTCATTATCACTTGTTTTTGCACCAGTGGCTGAACTGACCCAAACAGAAACCAACAGAACTCGCAGTTCTAGGTTCTAATTATTTTCCACCTGTGTAAGACGGTGAGGACTGTCATAATGACCATAATTAATGATTTGGGCCACAGTCAGTAATTGTATACCTACAAAGTGCACTTATATGACAGGTGTTTAGGTACAACAGCCAATGTGTGCAGATTCAATAAACTTAAACCGGAAGCTCTGTATATGTTGATCTAATCTGAATATATTAAAAGTGAAAACCTCTGCTGGGCTTTGGTCACTTACAGGATGTCCATTATGACTGGTCATGTGTTGGTGGTATCTGTAGATTTAGGGTACTAACGATCAAACGTAGAGCATAATGAATAGGCAGTTCTCGGTTTCACTGGAAAATCATTCATCAAACAAATTTAGCATTTCTTGTGGGGTCCCACAAGGTTCCATTTTAGGGTCTTTGCTTTTTTCGTTGTAAGTTATCTGTAGGTGATGTCATCAGGAAACTTGATATCAATTTTCATAACTATGCTGATGACACGCAATTATACATTTCCATTCCTTCTGATAATCAGACTGACCAGCTAACCTTTATCCTGCATGTAAACACAGTCAATAAAGTAGCTTCTTATCATTTGAGAAATAACATTTAAGTTCGGCCTTTTCTCTCTCAGAGCGAGTTGAGCAAGCAGAGATGATCACTGTAATGATCTTCTTACTGGAGAGTACAGTCCATCCTCTAGAACCTGTACAGAACACAGCAGCACGGATCCTCACAGCACCAACACAGAGAGCTCATATCACCCCGTTACACACTGCACTGACCGCCTGGATCTGTTAGAGAGAGTTTAAAGCTCTGCTGCTGGTTTTTAAAGCTCTAAATGACCTTAAAGCTCCTGAATGTCTGTAAAGTACTTTGAGCTGCCACTGGCATGAAAAGTGCTCTAAAAATAGACATAATTATTATTATTATTATTATTACATTTAATGCAATTCCAATATCCTTAATACTCCTGCCACATGTGACTTACCTGGCTTTAAGCTGGAGTGCACTTGTTCTGATATTATCTAGAACTCTCTGTAGTCTGACTGTGTCCAGAACCAGACATTCCATCTCCCTACGACTCTCCAGCAGCTTGTCCTCCTTTTCCATCACACTCACCACAGCACCCTTATCCACTGCTGTGGCATACACTCCTCCGCACAGCTGAGTCAGCCTCGCCTCCAGGGTGACCTTCTCCTCCTGCAGCTCTTTCACTTTGGAGATAAGCCCAGCCAACCACTCACAGCCCACTAGGCCAAAGCTACCATCAGCAGCCATTAAGGCTGACCCAGATAACGGGGTCAAGTCAGTGCTCCGTGTGATGGTTTGGCTCATGATGTCAGTAGGACACGTTGGTGATGAACCTCCTGCTCCAGCTCGTCCCATTTCCAGCCCTGAACCAACATCAGCACTCTTTTCCAAGATTAGCCCAAGACCCAGACCTCCATCCAGCTGCAGCCTCAGTCCAGTGGCAGCTCCAGTCCTGCCACCATGGCACAGTCCAGCGGCCCGAACACGAGAGGACATCAAAATCTGAGAGGTGGACGTAGCACTCCAGACGAGAAGGAGAGTGAATTGTGAAGCGGTTGGGGGAAGTGAGGTACGGGGAGATGGAGTGAGGCTTTATACACAGAAACTGAGAGGGAGGGATTTTACTGCCTGGAAAAAACTCAACCAGAGTTTTGCCTCAGGACAAAGCAGGAACACTGAAAAAAGTGGTATCTTGGCAAGTGAAAGGATCTTAAATCTAGTCGATATATCTCATATTTATTTATACAACAATCGCAAAATGAGAAATACATCGACTAGATTTAAAGCAGCATTATGCGAGAATTAGGATCTTTTGCTCTCGGGCTCCCCCTACAGTCGCAGAGTATATTTCACTTTTACACCACTGAGTGTGTTTATTTGCACTCAATAATCAGATCATAATCAGATTTCTGCAGTTATCTGATTAGTCAAATGCCGTGTAAACAGCACACTCGGAGTAAGATCTAGAAATGTGATTAAGAAATCTGATAAAGAGGCTGGATTTGAGCTCAGTAATCAGATTTCTTAGTGAATGTAAACTCTCACTCTGATTTCTTTCAGATTTCTCGGTCTGAGCATGTGCAAAAAACAGACGGCAGCACTGGAAATAAGCAGCGTTGCTGTGAGTTGCATGAAAAAACACTTTTGGAGTGACGCTGAAAGTGACTACATGCTTGACGGAATGAAGGATTTTATTATTCTTCATCTTCTAAATGATGTATGTTCATTATTTTCAGCTAAAGTGACTCAAAAAAAAAGCCACAGCATGAAGTTTTATGCTGTGTTTACGTCACGTCTTCTTCTGTGAGTCTATTGGCTGGTTGCAAAGCAGAAATCTGATTACTGTCTGACTCATGTAGACCCGGAGGTTTCCCTATTATCTGATTACTCAAGTGCATGTAAACACGTTGATCGAATTACTCACAGCCTCTTCTTACAGCTGCTGAGCTGTTGTGATTTGGTGCCGTAAAGTGTTACGCAGTTCTGGCAAGAGGTTCTTGTGCTGCTCCTCCAAAGTTACATAGCGCTATAGCAGACATTCTGGCCTGGAGTGGCAACCACAGAGACGCCGTTCTCACAAGACAGTGTAGCATCAAAATGATGTTGAAGCTGTTATTTTAACGTAAAATTTTTCATAATGTTGCTTTAAGATACCAAGATATCACTTTTTGCAGTGAAATACAGTATTTCATGTTTTTTTTTTTAGTTTACCACTTTGATAAGTTTACCATCAGACAAAAACAAATATGATAATGGAATCTGGAGGAAAATGACCTGGTTTAGTTTTCATACTTACCTAGATCTATCAATTCCATCTGATGTGATGAGGGCTGTACATAGCGCACATGGAAGGAAAATAAATCCATGTTTCTTTATTGGGAATGTACAATTCTTACAGTTATTACTATGAGACTTCGGACTTCTGTAGCCTGTTTTCCAAACCGTCCTCCACTGTAAGTACAAGTATGGGCACGAGGGAAGATTCCTCTGCTCAGTGTAGGGTAACTTCGGTTGCAGAAGCCCCCTTAGGGTGAAATGCTCCCCCACTCTGTTTTCTTTCCCAGTCCACTGATGGGGCAAACTCTCTACATATTGACTGAGTAGCTATGCTCAAATGATGAAATTTCATCTGGATCACTGAATTCTTGGGATTTATTGTGCTGTACTTGTGTTCACATCTATGTGTTTATTGTCACAGAAAAGTTGTTCATATAATCATATAGTTATGATTAGAATGAATATTTTCTTCTTTTGAAGTGAAAATGTAAAGTTGGCTTTTGGGCCAGGATGTTCCCTTCTAACATACCGGCCAGAAACTTTATTTCATTAGATTTTCATTATTAAGACACAAAGTTGTTCACTGAAATGGCACTGACTTAAATGCAGGGCCGTAGACAAGAGGTGGTCAGTACCACCCCAGTGTGATGTATGGCCACCCTACTTATCGCTGCTGTCGGAACAAAACCTTGTATGTCCAGTTTTTCAGTTTTTGACATAATTTGAAAATACCTGTTGCTCTTTACATTGTGTGTAAATTTCATGATGAATGGACCAAAATAAACGGCCCAAAATGACTTGTAAAAAGTCTGGTTCCATTGACTTACATTAAAGGTAAAGTGTGTTTTTCCTTCTCCTGTAAAGTTACCATTTGGGAAATACGAGGTTTTGTCCCGACAGCAGTGATATGCAAAGGATTACCAGAGAAATGTTCTCCAACCTGCTCTGTTAGAATGTTTATACTTTACTGTGAAAATGTGCCATCAGGGTTTACTGATGAGGTATAGGAGTCAGATAATACCAGTAATCAGCTGGTCACTGCTCTGATGGGCTACTCTGCTGAGAAAACAGACTTGGCTAAAACAATTGGCAACATTTTCTAGCCATCTTGCTGGAGATGAGTTTGTGTGTTTAGCAGCTCAGAGTAACATTCACACCTGATTCATTATGTCTAATAATAAATAATAACTGAAGTAACATAATATCATTGAATATAATCAAAATAACTTTAATTAATTGACAAAATTGTCATTTCTGGAGTTCAGGCGTTAAGACAAACTGACAGAGGCCTCAATTTCATCTTAAATTATATCATTTTTGATGTTTACTCTGATTAAATAATACAATTTCTGAAAAAAATGGACCAGAACTGGAAAACGATTTGATATATAAATGATACATTTTGCAAAACTTAGATGAGAGACTGACGCAAGACTCACCAGGGGTCTTCTTACCCCAGACAGGGGGGCAACTTTTCCCCGATAGTTAATTCTAAAAGATTTCCTTTTTTGTGCCATAAACCAGAAGCGTCTGCTGTTCCAGTTTACTTCCTCTAACTGTTCGCAGGTTAATGCATCATAACCCTGTAGCTAAACTCACACAGAGATGAGGTTTAGCTTTGCAGTAAATGGACACTGTTTGTATGGTGGGCATTTTCGCCCTGTTGTATGAGGAACCTACACATTTACACTGACTGAAAGAGTTTATTTGGGATGTCGTTGCTTTAGACACAGTGAAGTGTTGTATTTTAGAGACTGAGAGGGGATCAATAACAGAGTTCCATCTACGACAGCATCAGCAGCGAAGAAACCAAACCAGCCGTACTGTAAATGTTTATGAGCTCACCACAAACACACACACACAACCTTTACATCACTATTACAGTGACACACACGCACAGCAGGAATATATCCGACCCTCCGTTGGTTCCCCCATAACTACAGTCAGCCGTAGCGTCTGATGGACATAAATGGAAGTCTTACAAAAATATACTGTGGTTAGCATCTACTAGATTTTGCAATACAGAAAATATCTTAAAAGGGGAATTCCACAGATTTTCTAGAATTCCTGCATAATTCAGTGTGTGAGATGTAAACAGAGAGATTCAGAGATGGTTTGGTGTGAAATGGTTCAGATGTCTTTACAGTGGTGGTGATAGGAACCAGGGGTCGCCATGACTACAACACAGACATAGACATTTTATTTACTATCCAAAACCAGCAGGAACCAGTCTCACCCGGCAGGTTCAACAGACAAAGCGTTCTGACTAAGTTTCAGTTTCAGTTGGAACTGTGGTCAATTGGTTTCATAAGGCAGTTAACTTTGCCTGTTAATACGCTTCGATACTTGAGCTATGATTAGTCAGTTGTGCACATGAAAGCATGACATTTATGATAAACAGCCTTTTGTGTGGAACTTGCAGAGGAATCAAGTGGAAAAAGAAATCTATGGACAGTCTTGAGCAAAAAAAGGGCAGAACATGAAGCTTTTCATGGTTTTAACAACAAAAGTGTGTGAATTAGCCAGAATTGAACAAATACATGCGGTAAGTTAATGCAGGACAAAGAAGAGTCATTACTGATCCACTCAGCGTTAGACGGCTTCAAACAGCGGGAAAACACTGCTTGTTTGGGTTTAATGTGAGACCAAATATTCACTATAGGGTTTAAATCTGGACTCTGACCAGCCAGAACCCTCAGTAAACACTGTTATATTTTAGGCTTGGCCCATTTTTTTGCACGAGACTGTACATGTAGAAAGTAAAGCATTATTAACAGTAAAAAGCAGCTGCATTAGGCCCTGTTCACACCTGGTATTAACACCCATCTCGAGTGATCTGATCATAAGTGGAGATGTAAAGTCCCTGGCAGTTTACCCCTGTCATCTCCATGTGTCTTGAAAGTGACTGGATTTGGTGACCGGAGGAAGGAACCGCCCACATTTACTACGTCAGTCTCTCGCTGGATTTGTTACCAGAGAAAAATGAACCGCATGAACTGCTAACATGTTATATCTGACGTGATGACGCAGCTGATTAAGGTGGTCCTTCGACGCTGTTGATGACTCAACACTCATTAGCATTCATAATACAAATGTTTTGTGGTCATATGCGTCACTGACCACCTCTGAAGGTGGTTTGAGTGATCAGATTACAGTGTGTCTCCAAGATACTTTGTACTGCATTCACACCTGCGCTGAGCACCGTCCACTGATGACTGGATCACCCAGGTTCCACGTTAGTGCCAGGTGTGAACAGGCCTTAGTGTTTAGTGCTTTATATTCTTACTGTGCAGTATAATTTGCTTCCTCTGCTAAAAAGCGATATTCTTCATGCGACTGACGTCACAAAGAGAACAAGGTGACCGGAGGGGTCCACCAGATTGGTCAGAAGCTTGACCTGATTGGTCAAAGATCTGCTTATCATCTGAAAGTCTCGAATTTAACCTGCTTTGGAGCAGGTTAGGCAAGCAGTAAAAGTTGCCATGACAGTGAATTCCAGTAAAAGCGATTTACCGTCGTGAGACCAAAAGTCCAAGGCTAGATCGAGCTAAGCTTCAAGTTAGCTGGCTAAGCCATCAATCCTGGTCTAGTTATTATATGTAATATTGATGATAATAAAATCTGAAATTTGAAAATGTGCTTGAGTATCACTTTGCCTTACAATGTCCTGCACGTACCAAAAAACACAAAATCTTATCGGCAAACTATTGCAAAACAATGTCACAGGCGTCAGGAGCTTTTAGAGACGTTTCGATGCTTCTGACGTCTGGTTCCCATGACCACCACTGTAATCAATTCTGACTCTGTAATTTTCTCTAGAACGACAGATTTCCCCTTTAAACCACTCTGAACAACTTTGTTTACATCTTAACTGCTAAAAGATGCAGAAAGTTTGAAAAATCTGTGAAATTCCCCATTAAAGTGTCCCTTTACATCGTCACACTGGACATTCTAACTGGTCTGCGGATACCGTTGAGTAGAAAAGTACATTCTGTTCTGGTTCTGAAATGTGACAGTGAGAAAAGTTTTTAATGCGACGCATAAAATAAAACCTATGAAGAAGAAGAGGAGGAGAAATTTTTCATAGTGTTGCATCATTAAAAAATTAAACTGAGCTCATAAGAAAGACGCATCTGTTGTTGCTCAGAACTGAACTACAGTTAAGAACGTTGTCAAAATAAATAGAAAAAAGAAACAATAAAATAACGAAATAAACAATAAAACAATAAAAGCGAAAAGAAAAAAGTTCTTGACTGATGTGATTCTACTCTGCTACTGTATGGAGAAATAACTCTTAACTACTGCTGCTAATTCATTAATATTTTTAAAATAAGAAAGAAAATAAGAAGAAAACAACAAAGGGTCCCAAAGAGAGGCAACAATTTACGCCTCAGGGTCAAAGAACTCCCCATGGAAGAGACGGGAACGAAGCTTTAGGCATGAAAATTTCCTCCTCAGCTAACTAAGCATGAATTTTCAGTGCAAAACATCTCGTAGTGTTGTTTACATGATAAGCTGCACACATTTAAGAGTCTCAAGCTGAGAGAACTACAGATGCAACTAAATAAGATCCCTACCTGCAAAAAATATTACTTCTGCTATAAAGCCATACTCAGAAGGGCAGATTTTCTGAAGAGGAGCTGGCAGCGACCGCATTAAAGTCCCCTTTAGTCCCTCTGTTCTTTCGTTCTTTGGTCCCTTGCCTTTTTGTAGTGTATATCATCAAAGTTAAAAGTGACTTTAGTTCCGTCCGTCCATAAACGTCCCCCCGTCGCTCAGAGCAGGTGTGTTTAACGGGGCAAGACTTCACTCGTCAGACTCATACCTGCGGAAAAAGTGATGATAAAAGAAAAAGTAAATGATAAAAGAAAATTACGTCAAACACAATCCTGAATTTTCTGTTACAGTTTTAATTTTGTGTTTATATTAGCCTGTTTTACAATGCGCTGCACTACAGTCCCCAGCATGCACTGCAACGTTATGTGCACTCTGTCTCTCCTACCTCAAAAACAGTCTATAGGACAGCGGTTACACCTCAACTCTACACAGTTCTGCACAATTCCACACCAGTCACATCACCAAACGACTAACTGCTGTTCAGCCAGTAAAACACTTAACATCAGAACAGCAGCTCAGAAACTGAGCCCAAGAATTAATGAACCTGCAGCAAAGAAAAGATGTGAGGAGTCTAATTGAAGCAAAACAGGTAAGTTTGAAGGACTGAGCTCCTGGTGACGTTTAAATATTGAATATTTCAAGTATTCATGTAATATTTCAAGGTCTACTACAAGTGCCTACAACATTAACTAAAAATGAAATCATGAAATTTTAATTTTTTGACCTAGTTTAAAAAAGGCAGTTGCCCTTCATGTTGTGTCAATATTCCATGATGAACAGACCAACAGAAATGGTCCAAGTTTTTTCCTTTCTCCTGTAAAGTTATCTTTTTTGGAGATACGAGGTTTTTGCTCCGACAGCAATGATATGATTATCAGCCCCCCTCCATTTATCTGTTTTTCAGTCGTGGCCATTAAGTTATTCCTTTTTTCAGTGTCAGAAAAAAGCATAAAAAAAATATATTCACAGAAGCCTCAACAACTGAAATGGCATCAATGTTTTCAGTATTTTGTGAGTCCAGGCTTCACCTTTATTACAGCTTCCACTGTTCTTGGAAAACTTACTTTCAGTTTCTCAAAGAAATCTGCAGATACGCCTCCGAAGTTCAGTCGTTGATCATTTTCTGCTTCTCTCATTTTGTAATTACAAATTTAGACTCAGCAGACCATAAAACTTCACTCTGCATCTCAGATGTCCAAATTTTCCTATCACCTTTTCTCATTTTCTACACATCCTTTCAGACCCACAGCGCTGAGTCGTCTTCTCACAGTGGAAGGATGGACAGAAACACCTGTGGATGTTTTCAGATGTGAAGCAGTTTGATTTTCTCCTCTCTCTCAGAGATGAAAGGGCTTTTTATTTGTTTATCTGATGGGGGCAGTTTTGGTTCCATTTCGTTTTTCCTATGATAATGTTTTGAATTCCAGTTTTTGAAAACTCCTGTTTTTTCCACTTACTTTCTGCTTCCTTACACAAGCGCATTATCGTATATCTAATCTCCTCAGAAATATCAGAAACGTCTCCTTTATCCATACTCCACATGAGGGAGAACTGTGTGAGGCAGCTGAGGTGAGTTTGGGTTGTTTGTGTGAATGTTAGTGTCTCTCTGAAGGGGAACATAAAGTCAGTGAGATCTTTGGGAGCAGATTATGTTGGGAGGACACAGCTGGACCTGGTTAGTTTTGGGACTGGAAGGATTTAGTAGTGGACAATTTAATCACTGATAAATCTGATATTATACTTAACGTTGGAATATTTTGTGTAATTTTCTGTAAAATATGTTTTCTTACTCTTTGTTTCCCCCTTAAACATACAAAAAACAGAAATCCTGTAAGTCATAATAATAAGTATCACACAATTATGATTTAGTATCTCATTGTTATGCCTTCCTGTCTCATAATATAATGATGTCTCATAATTGTGACTTGAGATCTCATTATTCTGACTTGCTACATTGTAATATTGAGATCTCATAATATGGAGAAGGTTTTCACTTAGTATCTCTTAATTATAACTTTCTACATCACAATTATGACTTATTTCATAATTACAACTTAGTGTCTCATAAATATGACATAGTATGGCAATCTTATATTTACGACTTACTATCTCATAATGAGTTAGTATCTCATAATTATGATTTACTATCTCATAATTATGTCCTAGTATCTCATAATAATGACTTAGCATCTCATAATTATGATAAACCTTCTCATTAAAAGCACATTGTTTATTATGATAATGATAAAATATCACAATATTGTCCAATTCTACTTTGTGGCTTTGAAAAACAATGACTCAAACTAAAAGTCGCTGTGTCAGCGTCTCCTGTGCTGTACTGTATGTCCTTAGCACTTTACTTTGAACAGAAAATAAATTATAATGTGCAACATACTAGGGCTGGACGATTATTTGAATTTAATTTCTAATTACAATTTTGGCTTCCAATGATTTTGCAAACAAGATAATGGAGATAAAACAGTTATTCCGCTGTGCAATGATGCTCTCGTTTTGTCTTGTATTTTAAATCCACTGAAAATTCACTGTTAAAAAGACAAGTTTATTTAATGTATGATGTTTCCAAAGTCAATGAGTACACGTCAAATAATCGTGATCTCAATATAATCATTGTCTCATCATATAATCACCAAAATAATCATGTTATGATAATCGAGCAGCCCTGCAGCACACTACGCATCAGAAAACTCAACTGAACCTGCATGCAAATGTTCAAAGAAGGTGAAGAGAGCAGCAATTCTGTTTGATGTAGCATGAAGAAACAAGAGAATTTCCTCATCATAATATTAATGTAGCCAGCAAACACAGCTGTTTTCACAGGAAACCAGTGAAACTGAACATGGGTGGGTTCAGACTGAGCCGTCTCTACTGATAGAACAAACACAGTGCTGACTGGAATCCTCACACTGAAAGCTTTTAAACAGGTTAGCACCTCTTAACCGATCATCTGATCACTTACAGCAGCACTCACCTCTGTAGTCTTTTCCTGAGATCCTTAATCTGATCGTTCTTCTTACTTAGGATTTCCTTCATGTTCCGATACGCAGCCGTCTGCTGGAACTTCTTCTCCAGCTCCTGAACACATACGTACACTTTTTTAGCATGTATGGTTTATTACGAGGCACACTGCGGTCACAGCGGGGAGCGGGGCAAGACGTACCGCGGGGTCAAAAGTAACATGGACTTATTGTGCTCAAGAAGGATCTTTTGGTCTTCTTCTCGTACACTCCAAACATCAAATTCGGCGAATTTTTAACATTTGGATTTGGATTTTTTTATTAGATTTAATGCATAGATTCATCAAAAATGTACATGCAATTAAAAAATAAATTTATTTCACTAATCAAAAAATTTTTACTAATTAATTAATAGTTTTTTTTTACTAATCATATTTATTATGATGCATATATTTTTAAATACAGTGCCATGAAAAAGTATTTTAATTGTTAATTAGAAAAAAATAGAACAACAACTTACACAAAATACAGGTTTTAAATGATCACTGTACATATTGCACTTTCTGCACACCTTATCACACATATTGCACATCTGGACACTCCACACCTGGACACTTTTATTTCAGTACCAATATATGCACATATTTATTCAGTATTTTCATTATATGCTGTTACCTGCACCTCCTTGTACATTTATTACTGCACTGCCTTTTCATCTCAAGTTATTGATCTTATTGCATATTTTTATATATTTCTAGTTGTATATTTGCCTGTAGATTTTTTTTGTATATATTCTTCTTTTTATATTGTATCACCCTTATTATTATAACAGTCCTGTGTTGTGTGATTGATACTGGCTGCTAAATTTCTGTCTGTCTGTCTCGTAGAAAAAAGTTAACTAACACCAACTGGCCCTGTTTGAAAAAGTAGTTGTTAGTTACTCAATCAACCAATTAACCAGATTTAGTTCATAATTAGGGATCAATTAAACTAGACACACCAAGGTTTGACTGCTGCCAGCCTTGTAGAATCTAAACATCTCTTAAATAGAACCTTTCCAGCAACGTGAAGCAGGCTCAAAGTTCTCAATGTGCAGCTCATTGTGCTGCAATCAAAAGAAAGAAAGATGGGAAAACGTTACTGAAATATATCAGTGCGGAAAAAAGGTTACAGAGTCATTTCTGAGGCTCTGAGACTCCAGAGAACCAGAATGAGAGACATCATCTCTTAATGGACACAACTTGGAACGGTGGTGAATCTCTCCAGAACCAGCTAACCAAAATTCCTCCAAGAGCACAACGACGACTCATCCAGGAGGTCACAAAAGACCCCAGACAAACATCTAAGGATCTGCAGGCCTCGCTCACCTCAGATAAGGTCAGCATTCAAGATTCTACTGTTAGAAAGAGGCTGGGGGGCAAAAATGGTGTCCATGGGAAACGAGACAAAAACCACTGCTAACCAAGAGGAACATAACGGGTTCATCTCACATTTACCAAAAACACCTTGATGACCCCCCAAGCCTTTTGGAACAATGTTCTGATTGAGCTGAAATGTGGTGAAAGTGGACCTTTTTGGAAGAATCTGGTGTAAAGCTAACACAGCATTCCACAATCAGAATATCATACCAGCAGTGAAACATGGTGGTGGAAGTAGAGAGGACGAAATATTTTTTCACGGGATTGTATTTGGATTAGAAAGTTCTTCTGGTTCAAATAACATATAACTATACTGAATTTATTATGTTCTGCATCAGTTGACTGTTTAGTGACTGTTACAACTAACCAATGTCTCTGTTACAATTGAATACAATTAAACCCACCGATGAGGTAAGTTGTAAGTGACTTTCAGCAGAACTGTTCACAAACAGCAGGTGCTGGAAGTTTAAGTTTTCATTCATGTGCAGGGTGCTTGTACAACAATGAATCATTTTACTTAAATAATTTAAAAAATATTTATCAAAAATAAAAATGTGATTGTGCCCCGCTCTCTCCTACTAACATTCCAATACTGCTCAGTAAATAAAGCTCGATAGTTTAAGCTTAATAGAACAAAGAACTTGTCTTATAAAACTGAATGTTGGTAGGTTCAGTGACCAACACAGCCCTGTATCACTGTTGTAAGAAAGCTTCTGACAAACTTTGTCAGAAATGGCAACTTAATAGAAGAAGAAAAAACACTTTTTTAGCTGTTAATTCATTATAAAATGTAACACAAAGTAAGGTACAGCAGACATTTTTTAAATGGTGAAAATGTGGTGTTTCTTTTGTTTTCCTTTTGAGAGCGACGACTGTTACCGTCTTATGGGTTGGACTGTGGGTTGGACGAGAGTTCAGTACCTTCTCAGCGAGGGAGAGCTGCTCCTGGACCCGCAGCAGGTCGTGTTTAGCCGACACCAGGCTCTCCTGCAGCTCCTTCTGGGAAGCAGCGTTTGCGCTCAGAGATTTCTCAAAGTCGGCCTGCATGGCTGCGACCGTGTCCTCCAGATTGGAGATCTCCTGAGCGCGCAGCACGCACTGAAAGAGATCAGCAAGACGGCCTTTACTGTGAAGTTTGTTAAGTTTTGTGAGCAACAATCTACACAACTGAGCAACTTCTGTTTCTGATGTGCACAATGATAAACTCAGTACATACCCCAAATGTTCCAGAGAGCCAACAGAGGACAATGAAGAAAATAATAGGAAATAAAAATCAAATCAGATCGAATCACAAGACAAAAAAGAAAGGAAAATAAAGAATATACTACATGCAGCAACACAAGTGGAGACCAGTCACCAAATTACAAAAAAATGAATGCATCTTTATCTTTATTCTGCACCCACTACAGATGAGTTCAGCTGGAACACCAGGCTAGAGGTCTGCACTCTCGCTGGACCCACCACAATTTCTTGCGGTGCGGGACTAATTTTCAGTGTTGCATGCGGGAGCAGGCGGGTCGATGCACGCATGAAGAGAAATCCCGAAAATTAATGAACAGCCTAAATAAAGTAGAATGATCACTAAATCATATATAAACAAAACAAAATGATAACAGTAAACAGTCAAAATGAAGTCATTCTAATGAGCTGTGAAGCAGCTGAACACGTGAACAACACGCAGATTCTTGCATCTCACAGAGACGACGGAGCCTTCAGTCCGACGGCCACAGCTGCCCAGCAAATCACCAAAAATAACTGCTCTGCGGTTTAATTCCTGCTTTATATTTACTGGGAATAAATGGAGTTTGGTGAAGTTACTCACAGTGAGCCTGATGACCATGACTGCTGTGTTATTTCAGCAGAGAATAATGTGTTTGTCAATAGACACTGTCGAACATTGAATGTCAGTTCACCTTGATGGAACTGCACGGTTCGGTTGCGGGCAGGAGCAGGGACAAAATGTTTCTGTTGCGGACGGGAGGAGGAAAAATGATTCCGATTTTCTGCAGGTGGGGGTGGGACTGAAGAACAGTCCAGCGCAGACCTCTACACCAATACCACACCAGCTCAAAACTCACTGTACAGTCTTAAAGGAGTTCTGGAAGTTCTTTTAGTTCATTAAAGCCAGTGTTGTTTAGGGACAGACATACCTGCTGATCTCCCTGGATCTTCTGAAGGTCTTTCAGGGCCCTCTCAGCCTTGGACTTCTCGTCCAGAGCACTCATGGCCTACAGCATGTACAAAGACATGATACCATTACATACAGTGTAAAGGTTCGCTGATAAACCAACCCTGCTATAACCCAAATTAGCTCATGTAGAGCTTGGTAACTATCTAGAGAGCTGGATCTGGACCTTCAGACTTCATTTTTTTTTGACTTCTTTAATCTGTTTTATCTAATTTCCTGATTTAATTTGTTTACCTGGCTTTCTAAAGTGCGGAGTCTAGCTCTCAGCTTATCGTTCTCCTCCTGTAGTCTGGAAATCTCCTGGAAAATAAAAGCAGAGTTCTAATCAAAATGAGCAGTTATTAATAAAGAATGTGAAGACTTCCCCATTTAATAAAACTAAGTAAGAGATTATATCACAGCAAGGCAATGGAACCTTCTAATGCCGTGTCTGAAACGGTCCCCTTATCACTACACCCTACATTTAAAAGCCTGGATCGCTACATAGAGCACTATTAAAGGGAACAGAATTGGTGATGGTGGTAAAGAAATTCGGACTCTACGTTGGTACGTTTTGCTCATTACTGTGCGACAGCAGATTCTCTCGCATTAACGCTATAAACACCCTGTAGTCAGTCCACTATAACCGTAGAGTCTGACCACACACACATCAGAAGAGCTGACTCACACCTGTAACAGGTGTTAAGAGAGCTCTGTGGAGATGCTGCCACTGTAGCTGGGCTCATTAATCCTCTTCAGAATAGAAACTTAAGACCATCGCAGTGCATTATGGGTATCCCTTTCTGCATTATGTTTTCGGACACCGCAACAAAACGGTGGAACCCCAAAATAGTGCACTATATATAAAAATAGCGACACAGTTTTTCGGACACAACAGATCATTTCCTCTGGTTAAACTAGCTGTCAATACACGTGTGGTTGTTGCCAAACTGAATTAATTGTAAAATATTTCAATATTTCAGAAGCTTTAAAATAAATCAGTTGTACAGTACAGATCCACTGGATACTAACGTTAAGCTTATGAATGAGAGAATCTTTGTTGAGGTGATGAGGACTTATTTACCTTGTTGAGTAGTTCAGACACTCCTCCCTCATTAAGTGGGGCTAACTTAGGTTTACTGGAGTCCTGATTTACCTGAAAGGGCATGAGGTGTTAAGGCATCATGACAAGAGTTTATACTTGTATACTATAATATACAAAATATTAATAACTTCTTGAAAAACAATTTTTTTGTTACATTTTACTGATTATTTGTGTTTAATTGTATTTACTCTAAAGTAACAGCTTTTTTTACATGCAAAAAACCCAAATACAATGAAGTTTCACAAATCACAACAAAGGAAACTCCGTCCACTCTGATCTCAATGTGATATCCCTGACATTATACAGCTGAGCAACCTTGATTTATATCTGTACTGCTTGCTGCGTGGGAAGCCGATATGTTGCATGTCACACATCGACCTGCAAAGTTAACACATTAACCCTGAAAAAGTGACGAGGCGCAGAAAAAAATGGTTTTAAACACCATCTTCACAAACAAGTCTTGTCTTTCTCCGTCTTAGACATGTTGGTGTTCTGGAGCTGAACAGCACCCACCTTACTGTTGGACTTGAAATCAGTCTTTTCAAACTCGGCCACTTGTTCCAATAATTCTCTGGGGGGGAAATTAAAAGAAGAGAGACAAGAGATCAGCAGGAAACCAGACCAGAGGAGGAGAAAAAGCAAAATAATAATACTCTAAAGATCATTAAAAACATTCAAATTGAAGGAGAAGATTTGTAATAGAGCTTGTGATTCTACTGCACTTGTTATTCACCTATTAAGTCTGCTAAAATGCATTGCTTCAGTAATAAGACATTGAGAAAGACTAGACAGCATTATTATAACCAAAATCATTTGCATTTGCTGGATTATACCAGTGTTTCCCACAAACAGGCTGCACTTAAGCATTCCCCAAAGTACAAAGTATTTAATATTTTTATGAATAAAGCAAAGAATCACTCTTTTCTCATGGTCATTTGCATTTTAGCCAAGTCTACGAGGTGTTTCTCATCCAGAAATTTAAAACACGCCTCATTCAAAACCCTTAAAACAAGTGAATAAGTGCTATGATGAGTTTCGATGCCTATAACCACGGAGAGACTGATCTGAAACTGTCACTGGTCAAACTACAGCACTCAGAAAGAACAGTGATATGATTAGACAGCTATACATGATGTAGTGATATAATGTGCAGCTAATTTTACTTAGAGGTGGGCGATATGGCAAAAATATAATATTGCGACGCTTCAAGAGATTTTCATGACACACAATATTTCTTTTTTGATTATTGGAACAGACAAAAAAGAGCCAGTAGTGCTACATTTTAAAAATACTAATAAAATCTGTGAACACGATGATTTTTACTCAATATTCAGCACTAAATGCAGTTAAATGGGAAACAAGTACTGATGATATGCACAATATGTTCAGAAAAGCATACTGTATTGAATTTTGACATAATTTATCACAGTAACAATATATACTGTCATTGCCTTCATACTGCAGATAAATAAAAATGTAGTCATTGAAAAGCAAACCTACACTGAGACACATCAGTGACCTACACAAGCAGCTCTGAATGTCCACACCGTGAAGGCAGCTGCTTTTTCCGTTTCATGTGAAGAAGATAGGGCAGTTACACACTTTAACATAAGCCCTCACCTCCTCCTGAAAACAGTTTAGCACTTAAGACTGTGGCGGTAAACACATCAACACTTCACTGCGATGCTCTGTGGTTTGATAAGGCAGGCGAGCACTGTGGGGCCTGCAGAGCAGGGCGTTTTCCTTCGCTGCGTGTTTGGGTAAGCCACGGTGAGCATGTTCCTACGCTGTTGGGAAGGAGAGGGCCACTGGCCACACACACAAACACACACACAAATACGAACACAAACGCACTGCTGTTTCTCTGATCTGTGTTTTTGCTGTTGGTGCATTTTTTCTTCACCGTGACTGTAACGTGGCCTTGGAAACCACAGTTAACGTTAGATGTACTACACAACACACATACTACACTTTGCTCAGCTCAACGAACAGAGTTCACAACAAAACCTCAAAATTTAGTGTGAAAAAAAAATAAAACAAAACCTGCCATGGGAGGATCACCTTAACTACTTTTTCCCTCGTCTTCAAAAAGGTGTGTTCTACACCTTGCGGTTCTATTCCAAATAATAACGTAGAGCTGCTTAGGGTGCTCACATACCCACAGTGCTATGCAGTTTCTCACATACACACAGTGCTGTGCAGAAGTCAGAGACCACCCATTTCTTTAATTCCCAGTCAAAACGGCCATTAAGTACAAGCTTTCAAGGCACACTCTTAAAAAGGATGGTTCGTCAAGGGTCCTTTAGTAAAGGGGATGGCTCTATATAGAACCATGTGCATGCTTAAATGGCTCTTCGTTGTGATTATTGTTATTGTTGTCAAGCTTGTAACAATACAAGAACCCTTTTTGGTGCTATATAGAACCATTTTCAAAAAGGTTCTATAGAGTATTGAAGCATGAAATGATTTTACATAGAACTCATGGTTCTAAAGTGAACCATCCCCTTTCCTAAAGAACCAATTAAGGAGATACTAAAGTAACTTAGGAGTTACTAAACATAAATGTTCATATAAGCAGTTTGGTAATTTCCCTGCACATATACACTCATTAAATCTAGAAATGAGAAGAGGGACTGAGTCAGGTGTGTTTGAGAAGGAAAAGGAGTGGAACTGGACAGCCCTGGTTTAAACCATCTGGTCAATGTCTAAAAGTTTGTGGACACCTGCTCGTCCAGTTCAGGGGCCAGATCTGACAGGGCGAGATAAGATTGCTTGCAAATTCATATCACAGATGCAAATCTTACTTTAATTTAAGAATCCTATCTTATCTTACAGCATTTTATCTCAACTACACTCTTTAAAAGATGGTTCTTCAATGGTTCCTTAGTAAAGAAAATGGTTCTATATAGAACCATGAACACTCAAAGAACCTTTTGCATGATTAAATGACTTCTTTGCACCGTGAAGTGGTTCTTCAGATTGATGGAGAATGTGCTGATGTTTTTTTTTTGAAAAGGGTTCTATACAGCACCAAAGAGGGTTCTATACAGCACCAAAAAAAAAAAACATCAGCATATTTTTCATCAATCTGAAGAACTCATTTCAAAAAGGTTCTAAATAGAACCATCTATAGCACATTCTCCATCAAGAGTGTAAAGTCCATTAGGAGTGTAAACTACACGATCGAGGTCGATAATCAGTTGTTATGTCTGTTATTAAGCAACCAATAATATGTGAACAGCTTTAAATGTAAACTGAGAGTTAAATAATGTTTATGTACGTTGTTTAACTAGACAGCTACTGTTACTGATATAAAAAACACTATAACAACACTAAGATCAACTGGAGGAATACTGTAACAGCGCCACCGGCTGTTTAAAGTGACGCACCGCTCCCCAGTTTCAGTTTCCATTTCTCCAAAAGTCTGTATGTCTGGAATTTTTGAACCACAGAGTTAAAAATAAATCTCTGAAAAGTGAAACCACCTTCTGTCAGGACACTGTTGGTGTTCTCGTAAAGTCAAGAGGCGTTCCGTCTAGTTAGGATACTTTTGTAATACTCTTTTCTTACATAGCGTGATTGTAAGATAAAGAACTCAGGAACTGATTCTGTAATAGTTACTGTCCTGACACTTGGCATTGGACGGGGTGACCTTAGGCTCATGTGTGGCTGCTCCAGAGGACCCCATTTTATCAGTCAGTACTTTTCTATGGAGATTATACAAGCTGTGCGCAACGGGTGACCTTAAAATAGCTAAACTAACAATTAGAAGAGATGTCTGGACACCATTAGATTATGTAGCCTCTATGGCACTTATATACACTATATGGATTATCGAGACACCTACACATCACACCTACAGCAGCTTTTATGAATCCCATTCTAAACCCATAGGCATTGATATGGAGTTGGTCCCCCTTTGCAGCTCTAACAGCCTCCACTCTTCTGGGAAGCTTCTACAAGATGTTGGAGAGTCTGTGGGAATTTGTGTCCAGTCATCCAGAAGAGCATTTGTGAGGTCAGACACTGATGTTGGACGAGAGGGTCTGGCTCACAATCTCTGTTCTAGTTCATCCAAAAGGTGTTGGATGGGGTTGAGGTCAGGGCTCTGTGAGGTCAGTCAAGTTCTTCCACACCAAACTCACCCAGTCATGACTTTATGGAGCTGCTTTGTGCACTGGGGCTCAGTCATGCTGGAACAGGAAAGGTTCTTCCCCAAACTGTTCCCACAAAGTTGGAAGTGTACAGTTGTCCAGAATGTCTTGGTGCTGAAGCATTAAGATTCCCCTTCACTGGAACTAAGGGTTCTAGACCAACCCCTGAAAAACAGCCCCATAGCATCATCCCTCCTCCACCAAACTCTACAGCTGGTACAGTGCAGTCAGGCAGGTAACGTTCTCCTGGCATTCGCCAAACCCAGACTCGTCCATCAGACTGACAGATAGAGAAGCGTGATTTGTCACTCCACAGCGTACGTTTCCACTGCTCCAGAGTCCAGCGGCAGTGCTTTACACCACTCCATCCGACGCTTGCTGATGCAAGGCTTGAATGCAGCTGTTCGGCTGCTCCCGGTGCAGTTGTTGTGCTGATGTTGATGCCAGAGGAGGTTTGAACTCAGCAGAGTGTTGGTGACTTTTATGCTCTATGCTCCTCAGCACTCGGCGACCCGCTCTGTAACTTTACGTGGTCTGACACTTCATGTCTGAGTTGCTGTGGTTCCTAAACGCTTCCACTTTTCAATAATACCACTCACAGCTGATCGTGGAACATCTAGGAGGAAAGAAATTTCGCCAACTGACTTGTTGCACCGGTGGCCTCCTATTACAGAACCACGCTCAATTTCAGTGAGCTCTTTAGAACGACCCATTCTTGCACTAGTGTGTGTAAAGGCAGACTGCAGGGCTACCTGCTTGATTTTATACACCTATGGCAATGAGACTGAACAAAACACTGGAATCCAATGATTAAGACATATGTCCCAATACTTTTGTCCATACAGTGTATTTAATATTGTATATTTGTATATCTCTCTTCCTCCGGGGTTGACCAGAGGAGGATGGGTTTCTCCCTTGAGCCTGGGTTCCTCTCGAGGTTTCTTCCTCTCACTCCTAGGGAGTTTCTCCTCGCCACTGTCGCCTCTGGCTTGCTCACTGGGGGCTTGGACCTGGATTTAGTTTCTTACGTCTATGGACACCTTTTTATTTATTTGTTTTCCTTCTATAAACTGCTTTTCTGTAAAGCTGCTTTGAGACAACACTAGTTGTAAAAAGCGCTATACAAATAAATGTCATATTGTAAAATGTTCTGCACACCGCTTACACTTTAGGAGGCATTTATGCAGAAATCTAGATAATTTCAACAGCAGTATATTCCCCTTCATTCAGAGCACCTACTGTTCCTGAACTGCAGCTCATCACTGCTACAACTGAAACTGTGAGACTAACAGCTAAAACTATAAATGAGGTACTAAACCAGTGTGAGAGTGACTTTGCCACTTCGGCTCACTGTGGCAGCTGCCCTCACTGAAATGTGCCTTGGTTAACTTTTCAATCTCATATTAATGTTTTCCCCCCATACGACTTTCTTATTTTTAATATGGACGCACATGTGATCATATACCACCACTGTTTCCAGCCTCCTGTTCCATTTTCCATTCTTAATTCTGAATACCGTTCACTGCGAGCCTACTCACGTTTACAGCCAGGGATCCTGCAGCAGCACGGGCGAAATTTGTGATATGGATGCTACGGCAGCCTCAGGCAGCTTCTCATGAACCTATGCTTGGCTCATGAACTGTGTGGTTTCAGCTGACTTTACTATGTGAGCTGCAGGGCAAGGAAGGAAGTGGCTTTCTTTGATTGGAAAGGGGGCATGGCTCCATGACCGGGTCAAACCCAGTGAAAGTTTCGGTAATGTTTCACAAGGCAGCAGGTATTCATGATTCAGTAACCCACCTAACGCGCTGCAGTTGTCAGTGCTGAAGGCTATCTGTTCAGGAAAGGCGGAACTGTGGCATATTTCAGTCATTACGTTTAAAATTTAGAATGTTTTTGCTGAAAATGTTTAGCTTTTTAGGCAGCGGGGATGTAATAATTGTAATGTTGAAGGGGATTCTAAATGGTTAGGATGTAAACAAAGTCAGAGTGGTTTGATGTGAAATGCTCAATTCTAGAGGAAGATATCAAGTCAGAAATATTCACAGTGGTGGAGAACCAGAGTGTTTAATGTCTCTGAAAGCTCCCTCACAAACCGTCAGTACATGAAATGGTTATAAATACGCTGTCTGACGCCTGAGACATTATTTTAGCACAGCTTTCAGAATAAAACATGGTTTTTAATAGATTTATGGCAGAAGGGATAAATGCAGGATGCTGTAAGGTAAAATAGTCCTCAAAGAAAACTTTTATTTTTGTATTTATTACTATTTTACCATGATCAACATTACATATAAAAACAGAGAAGGGACATATAGGTTCACTGGACTGGTCGATTAGTTTCTCAATGCACCATTTCACACAGATCCATTCCGAATGACAGACATTAATTATGCAAAAATCAGTATTTTCAACAATTACTGTGATTTTATTTAAATTTCATTTTATAGAACTTAATAAATCTGAACATTTCAGCACATTTTTATTTATGTAAAGCACACTGAATTGGTGTATGAAATGTGCTATATAAATACACTTGCCTTGCCTTGTTTTGCCGTACCATAAAATGTTTCCTCAGAGTTTCATCAATGTTTTTTCATTTTTCTGGCTCTAATCAGGTGCATTTTAACAGATAAACCCCAATACGCGACCGTAATGCATCATGAAATCTCAACATCCATCCCTAATGCATAAAGAGCCTTTTTTTCTTGTGTTTCTCCGTTTCTCATCTGAAAACTGTGTCACTGGCACCCACCTGTTCTCCAGCTCTGAGATATCGGTCTGCAACCTCAGGTAGAACTTCTCGGCCTGGGAGAAGAGCTGGCGCAGAAGCAGCACGTTGGTGTGGGCCGTGTTAATCAGCTCCATCTCCACTTCCCCGCGCACCACCACCTGCAGACCATCCAGCATGTCAGCCACCTCATCCACCGTGAACGTCTCCTCCACGAGCCTAGATAGAGAGAGAGTGAGTGAGTGAGAGAGAGAGAGAGAGAGAGAGAGAGAGAGAGAGTAAGAGAGAGAGAATAAGAGAGAGAGAGAGAAGAAATCTAAGTAAACCTGAAATAAGGAACAGGCAACCTTTCTACGTAATTCTTACACACACATAACTATTACACAAGTACTTCAAAGGCCTCTTGACGGTTAATTGGTTACTCTAACTCAGGGAGCCCAAATTGTGGCCAATGAGGACGTCTGATTTGGTCCGCCAGACATTTGCCCCAGCCCACCCCCCCTCCTACTAAAACAGAACAAAGAGATCTTTATAGATTGTATAGGCAAGGCACGTTTATTTATACGGCACCTTTCATACACTGCTGCCAATCCTTCTTAAACATTCAGTCCAGACCACAGTGAGAGTCTGGTATTTCGTTTAAACCCTGAAATAAAGTTTTAAGAAAGTTTAAAACAAAGAAAGTTACGATAATTAAAATGAAGAAATGAGTGTATTTAAGCTGATCCCTTCCAGTGAAGCTCGTGTTCAGACTCTCAGGTGGGTTTGATCTGCTCATAAGACGCTTTTACACAAACTTCGGCGTCCGTGCAGCTCGAGTGCTCACTGTCATTAAAGCAGAAGAGAGACACACCACCAAATACCAGGAAATTCTGAAATTCGTGTTAAAATTTCAAAGATTCTACTTTTCACTCAGATTGTTGTGCTGATAATATCATTTGTAAATAAAAACTGGTGGTCTATAACATTGACACCACTGTATGTTCTTATTTTCCTTTTAAAAAAAGCGTATCCTGGCTGAGTTTCTTGGATCTTCCCATGCTATCAAGAGCAAAAAGCACTGTCTCTAACGGTAGGCTTTCAAATGCAGTCACAGGAGCAGTTCTAACTACTAATAATGATGATTAGCCAATCAGAAGCTACTACAGGTCACTATACCAATCCTGGAATCTTCAGACTGTTTAAAGAGGCCGTCAACTCTGTATACGTAAAATCTCGACCCAAAAATCTGAATTTAAATAGGTCTGTCTCTAATCTATTGTTTTAAAATCACTTCTGGTATGAACAAAGTAATGTACAGTAACATGAAATTGAATGGCTTTAGCCTTGTTGTTTGTAAATGTTTGGCCTTAAATAGAGCTGGGCAATATGACAATATTTATCATTATTGTGATAAATTACAATCACAATATGCTTTTTTGAGCAGATCATGGACATCGTCAACAGTTCAAAATCATTTCTCAGCTGCATGTTTGATTAAAAAGAGAGCATAATCAGTCCTGCTTAACTGAATTTAGTGCAGCACAGTGTGAAACGTTAAATATAAGTAATCATACTCAGTTTTTAATGCAATATTTTAAAATGAGGCAGTACCTTTTCTGCTCTAGCTTATCAAATGTCAGAAAAAACAACTATCATGATTTATCACTTATCGTAAAAAACGTCCCCAAGTATTGTGATAGTACAATTTGCCATGTCGCCTCCAGCCTCGACTGCATCTCTCTTCTTTATTTGTTTACTGTTTTGGCTTTTTCACTAAACACTAAAGAATGCAGAAATGCTTTTTTACCTGCTGTCTTTGAGGTCCTGAAAGCAGGAGTCGATAGTCTTGAGTCTCAGGAGCCTCTTGGAACGGGCAAAGCGCATGTAGTTGATGACCTCGTTCTGGTGGTGCTCGTTGAACCCAAAATCAGCCTGGAACGATGGAAAAACAGTGTTATTAGGACTCGCACCATGAACACAAGGTTTGCTGACTGAGATTAATCAATATCGCTGCGTCCAGTTAAGTTTCTGAACCAGTTCATGTCCGCACAATGACAGTTTTGATTTGTAACAATGGGTCAGCAATTGTGTATGCAGTCTAATTTACATATAATTTGCATAACTCTTACCACCACATCTGTGTTAAACGGGGGAGACGCCTCTTTGTCTCAACTCTTACAGTTTTCGCCGGCTAATTTCTTTCTTTCTTCTTTTTATTTAATACTCTTCTCTTTTTTAGTTTTTCGGATGTATAACAAAGCTGAATTTATGAACTGGTGTTTTTCATACATTATAAATGTTTATCTTAGTCATGTTGTGGTCAACTATCCAGCTTACACATCTCCAAAGGAGATCCACCCTGTCTCAGCAGACTCTGTTTACATCCCACTACTCGAATTAAAAAATTCTGAAAAATCTGTGGCATTCCCCTTTAAGACATAGTGCTCTCAGCCATGCTGGGAATGCTTTAAATGCTATAATTCATAAATCAGTAACTGATTTGATGTCCCTGTCTGTGCATTTAATTAGATGTAGGCAGTGTCATTATCCAGGTAAACACTGGGGGGGAGAGACACAGAGAGAGAGAGAGAGAGAGAGAGAGAGAGAGAGAGAGAGAGAGAGAGAGAGAGAGAGAGAGACAGAGACACACACAGAAAGAGAGAGAGAGAAACAGAGAGAGAGAGAGAGAGAAACAGAGAGAGAGAAACAGAGAAAGAGACACAGAGAGAGAGAGAGACACAGAGAGAGACAGAGAGAGAGAGACAGACAGAGGGAGAAGGAGAGACACAGGAAGAGAGAGACACAGAGAGAGAGACACAGAGACAGAGAGAGAAAGAGAAAGAGACACAGAGAGAGAGAGAGAGACAAACAGAGAGAGAGATTTTTAATATTTTTTATTATTATTAATAGTAGTAGTGGTAGTATTTTATTTTATTTTATTACCATATTTATATTTCAAACTTTATAGCTTTGTTTAAATTATTTATCCATATGCAATTTTTTGATTAATTTATTTATTTATTCATTTATTTTTATTCATTTATATTTTTATAATAATTCAATTTAACATGTATTTTACAGCTTTGGCAACATAGGTCTCATATTCTGTCATGCCAATAAAGCATATTTTATTTGATTTGATTTCATTTGAGAGACAGAGAGAGAGGGGGGGGATGGATAAGTTCACAGATAGTGTGATTAAATATCTCAGCAGACTGATATTTCATTCAAACAGCTTCTGCAGCCCTAACAGTGCTGGCTAGTTTAAAGGGGAATTCCACCATTTCTTTACAGTGGGAACCGGGGTCGCCATGACTACCGCATAAACAACACTGTCAACAATTCTGACTCAGTAAGTTTCTCTAGAAGGAAGCGTTTCACACCAAACCGCTCTGAACCACCCTGTTTACATCTTAACCACTCAATTATAGAGAAAGTTTGAAAAATTGGTGGACTTCCCCTTTAAAGAAAATACCATAATTGTCTATTTTACCATCATACAGACTGTGATGCTGCTCTGTTTGTTGTAACAGACATTGTAAAGGGTCAGTAACGTAACACACTAACTATACAGTAGCTCAACAGTAAACATGCGTTATTAACATACGCTCTTAAAAACACGGTTCTTCAAGGGTTCTTTAGTAAAGGGAATACTTCCATTTAGAACCATGAGTTCTATACAAGACTATTTTATGCTTAAAAGGTTCCTTGCGTGGTAAAATGGTTCTTCAGATTGATGGAGAACATGTTGCACTTGGTTCTATATAACACCAAAAAGGGTTCTGCTATTGTTACAAGCTTGACATAACAACAACAGAAGAATATAGACTATATATAGACCTATACAGAAATGTGATATATGTCAATATACGTATCATATGTATACGTATCATATATGGATTTCCCTTATATCCAACACATATTTATCACTTGTGTACATATGTGAACATATGTGTTTGTGTGTATATATATATATATATATATATGGGACATATATTTCCATTCATATATATTATACATATATGGATGACGTATATTACTCATCTGTGCCTGCATCCTGTTGTATAATATAAGGTTTTGGGTTGTTCAAACTTACTTCATACATATGAATTTAAATGTAGACTGTTTAATAGATATGAAATACATGTAATTTTTGTCATACTTTTTTAAAAAAGAATATTAGACATCTTCCTTGACTTCCTAAAGAAGTGAAAGTTATTAGCGCAATAAAATCATCACAACATGAAATAAATGAAAATTTTGTTTCTCGAACATTTAAATAACCTAATTTTTTAAATCAAACAGGTAATATAGTAACAATTATAACTGTGGCTCCAGGTATTATACATATGTGGGTTCATACACCTATCAGACATGTATGTATGCTCCAGATATGAAACACATTATGTCCAATATAAGTTATATACTCACATATATGTGCATATATGGTCATATATCAGCTTTTCTGATCAGCACATTCTCCATCAATCTGAAGAACCATGTCACCATGCAAAGAACAGTTTAAGCATGCAATCGGTTCTGTACAGGACTCGTGGTTCTAAACAGAACCACTCTTTTTGAGAGTGTAGCTGATAGAGCGGATAGGCCAGTATTTAACGTTACCATGTCAACGTCTACATTAGCGAACTATACAGTGGTTAGGTGTAAGCTATGCGGGTACTAGCTAACAGAACCAACAGCTGCGATTAAAGTGTTTAGTGTTCTTGTCTGATATAAGAAGATAAACATATCTAGCTCACTACCGAGGAGCTCACTGATTAACAGGTCAGCAGCCCGGCTAACCAGGCTAACAGATACTCACCATTGCGGAGCGATAAAAAGCGGCTGTTTATCTGCGAATGAAAGTGAAATAAGACGTCAGGGTCCGAAATAATGTGACACCATAGAGCCCAATAAGGCACCGAACCGGCAGCCCGAGACCCGGACTGTTTTTTTCTGGAGGAGCCCGTAAAGAGATGTTAGCCGTTAGCCGTTAGCCGTTAGCTGCGCCGTTTGTTGCTCTTGGAAACGGAACAGCGTCACTGCGTAACTAACCAGCTCCAGCGGCGAGGAGGCCGCAGACCAGCAGAGGGCGCTAAGCGCAAACTTCAGCCTGGGGGCGGGGGGGGGAGTTAAAGGGGAATTCCACCAATGTTTCAAACTTGCTGCATAGCTCAGTAGGTGAGGTGTAATCAGAGAGATTCAGAGTGGTTTGGTGTGAAATGGTTCAGATGTCTTTACAGTGGTGGTGATAGGAACCAGGGGTCGCCATGACTACAACACAAATATAGGCATTTTATTTACTATCCAGAACCACCAGTGAACCTACACGAGTCTTCTGAGTTTATATGGAATGTTGATGATGGAAAATAATGGAGAATCTGAAATAATAAGTTTTCTTTGGGGACTATTTTGCCTCACAGCGCCCTGCATGTATCCCTCCACCATGAATGGAGTTTAAGTTCTCTAAACTATCATAAAACAGTGTCTCAGTCATCAGGCAGTGAATTCATAACCATTTCATGTAGTAACTTTCTGTGAGGGAGCTTTTAGAGGTGGATGTCTGGTTCCTATCACCACCACTGTGAACAGTTCTGACTCGGTAAGATTATCTAGAACAGAGCATTTCACACCAAACCACTCTGAACCACTCTGATTACATCTTAACCACTTAATTACGCAAAATTTTTGAAAAATAGCTCGGCCCCTTTATGTGCAACCCTACCTCCTCTCCTTTTTAAAATCGAGATAATAAAATGAATTGTATTCATGTTTAAATAATTTTATTCAAATAAAATATATTTCAATAATATAATTAATAAAATTCAAAATTAAATGGTTGTCCCTGGCGTTACTCAACCATTCTTTTTTATTTTGTATTTTTGTGTATTTTGTTTTTGTTGATTTAATTTGTCTTTTAGTAGTTTTCTTGGTTGATTTATTATTTTTATTCTTATTTTTTTTATTAGTATCATTTCATTTATTTTTGTCATTTTATTATCATTTAACATTTTATTATCTTATCATTATTATTATTGTCTTACAATTTTTTTTGTTTTTTATCTAAACAGTCGGAAGTCCAACTTCGACTGTGAACGAGTATGAAAAATCACATGGTGGTGGTGGTGTGTTAGTGTGTGTTGTGCTGGTCTGAGTGGATCAGACACAGCAGTGCTGCTGGAGTTTTTAAACACATCAGTGTCACTGCCGGACTGAGAATAGTCCACCAACCAAAAATATCCAGCCAACAGTGTCCTATGGGCAGCGTCCTGTGACCACTGATGCAGGACTAGAGGATGACCAACACAAACTGTGCAGCAGCAGATGAGCAATGAGTGTGAATGAGTGCAGAAAGGTGTTAACCTACATATCGGCTAAAACGGTGAGTTCTCAGAGCACAGCGGAAGGAGCTGAGTGACCGCAACATGCTACAAAGTCTGCAAGTTGTTTGTTGCTGGTGTTTCTATTTTCCTTTTAAAAGGCCCAGTTCCTGGATTTTTCCCTGGCATTAATGTATAATGTTTATGTGGGTTTATGTATCAAAAACAGTCTTTAATTCATTGTACTTGACCTTTTTCCGACCTCTGTTGATCCCAGGCTGTTTTTTACTGTGACTTTAAGACCGATGCCTGTAAATTGTCTCAGTTCTGATTGGCTGTCCTGTATTGCACCTCAGTAAAAACAAGTCAGGGTCTGAAAACCCCTTTTAAGGTCAATGTGAATGGGTGGAGCTTATAGCTGTATAGGCTTAATATGTGAATACATGGTTTTTGTGACATCACAAACACAGGTAATTCAAAAACAGGCTGTTTTTGCAGCTTAGTTCTCATATCGTCTCCAAAACTGTAACTTTACAGGAGAGGGCAAAAACGCTCTTTACTTTCAATGTAAGTCAATGTAAAGAGATTTTATTTGAAGCAGTTTTGGAGCATTTCTATTGGTCCATTCATCATGAAATGTTCACACAATGTAAATTACATGTAAATTATTGCTGAGTTCAAATGATGAAGAAAACTGAAAATCACTGGCTCCCACCAAAATTCAGAGCGCTGGGTCAGTGTTTTAAAGAGAGCTGAGCCAAAGAGTGTTTTCAGGGCATGTAAGTCATTTTTTGTCTAGTTTTTATTTTTTAGGTTACTGAGCTGTTTGTGTGAATCACAAAATCTAGCCTGATATCACTTTATTCACCGTCTTGTTTCCTAGAGCGCAGCACCGTTTAGAAGCAGCGGACAAGCTCACAGCAAGTGCAGCTGGGCTTCAGTCCAGCCTCCGCACTGCGGGGTTAGTTCTTACACAGCATTACAGTTCAGACACCTTCAGTACACAAGACTAATAAAGGACATTCAGTCTTTTTTTCCAGTTTACACAGATTTTAAACTGAAACAGAGAAACATCTGAAAACAGAGACTTTCTTCTGCTTTATTAGGATCTTTCAGATGTCACTATTTTGGTTTTAAGTAAGTTTATTAATGAAATTGACATTATCAGCTGGTAAAGCTGTAGTTATTCAGAAACAATGTTCATCAATGTTTTACTGATGTTTTTATTTACTGGACAAAAATAAATCAGTCATTATTTGACACACAGACTCAGTCAGTGTTCATATACACCAATCAGGCATAACATTCTGACCACCTCCTTGTTTCTACGCTCATTGTCCATTTTATCAGCTCCACTTACTATATAGGTGCACTTTGTAGTTCTACAGCTACAGACTGTAGTCCATCTGTTTCTCTGATACTTTGTTAGCCCCCTTTTACCCTGTTCTTCAGTGGTCAGGACCCCCATGGACCCTCACAGAGCAGGTACTATTTGTGCGGTGGATCATTCTCAGCACTGCAGTAACACTGACGTGGTGGTGGCATGTTAGTGTGTGTTGTGCTGGTCTGAGTGGATCAGACACAGCAGTGCTGCAGTAGTTTTTGAACACCTTAGTGTCACTGCTGGACTGAGAATAGTCCACCAACCAAAAATATCCAGCCAACAGCGTCCTGTGACCACTGATGAAGGACTAGAGGATGACCAACACAAACTGTGCAGCAGCAGATGAGCAATGAGTGTGAATGAGTGCAGAAAGGTGTTAACCTACATATCGGCTAAAACGGTGAGTTCTCAGAGCACAGCGGAAGGAGCTGAGTGACCGCAACATGCTACAAAGTCTGCAAGTTGTTTGTTGCTGGTGTTTCTATTTTCCTTTTAAAAGGCCCAGTTCCTGGATTTTTCCCTGGCATTAATGTATAATGTTTATGTGGGTTTATGTATCAAAAACAGTCTTTAATTCATTGTACTTGACCTTTTTCTGACCTCTGTTGATCCCAGGCTGTTTTTTACTGTGACTTTAAGACCGATGCCTGTAAATTGTCTCAGTTCTGATTGGCTGTCCTGTATTGCACCTCAGTAAAAACAAGTCAGGGTCTGAAAACCCCTTTTAAGGTCAATGTGAATGGGTGGAGCTTATAGTTGTATAGGCTTAATATGTGAATACATGGTTTTTGTGACATCACAAACACAGGTAATTCAAAAACAGGCTGTTTTTGCAGCTTAGTTCTCATATCGTCTCCAAAACTGTAACTTTACAGGAGAGGGCAAAAACGCTCTTTACTTTCAATGTAAGTCAATGTAAAGAGATTTTATTTGAAGCAGTTTTGGAGCATTTCTATTGGTCCATTCATCATGAAATGTTCACACAATGTAAATTACATGTAAATTATTGCTGAGTTCAAATGATGAAGAAAACTGAAAATCACTGGCTTCCACCAAAATTCAGAGCGCTGGGTCAGTGTTTTAAAGAGAGCTGAGCCAAAGAGTGTTTTCAGGGCATGTAAGTCATTTTTTGTCTAGTTTTTATTTTTTAGGTTACTGAGCTGTTTGTGTGAATCACAAAATCTAGCCTGATATCACTTTATTCACCGTCTTGTTTCCTACAGCGCAGCACCGTTTAGAAGCAGCTGACCAGCTCACAGCAAGTGCAGCTGGGCTTCAGTCCAGCCTCCGCACTGCGGGGTTAGTTCTTACACAGCATTACAGTTCAGACACCTTCAGTACACAAGACTAATAAAGGACATTCAGTCTTTTTGTTCCAGTTTACACAGATTTTAAACTGAAACAGAGAAACATCTGAAAACAGAGACTTTCTTCTGCTTTATTAGGATCTTTCAGATGTCACTATTTTGGTTTTAAGTAAGTTTATTAATGAAATTGACATTATCAGTTGGTAAAGCTGTAGTTATTCAGAAACAATGTTCATCAATGTTTTACTGATGTTTTTATTTACTGGACAAAAATAAATCAGTCATTGTTTGACACACAGACTCAGTCAGTGTTCATATACACCAATCAGGCATAACATTCTGACCACCTCCCTGTTTCTACACTCATTGTCCATTTTATCAGCTCCACTTACTATATAGGTGCACTTTGTAGTTCTACAGTTACAGACTGTAGTCCATCTGTTTCTCTGATACTTTGTTAGCCCTGTTACGACCCCATGTTTTGTCTAGGGTGTGTGGGATCAGTGACATGTGGCATTAAAATATTGAGCTGGTGAGAATTGATTAGAAGCGTGAGGAACAGACCACTAGAGAGCTTTTGAAGCCATTTTTATTAAAACAAACGTCAATAAAACCAGAGTGCTGTGATACCTAGTACCACACTGGAAGAATCAAACTGGACGGCACCAAAGAAAAGAACATATCAAAACCGAACCACGCTTATCTACTCTGAAACCAAAAGTATTTAGCTAATCTAATAAAACGGAAACCAAAGCTAACTACTCTAAACTTCCCTAGTCTGTAACCAAAAGCACATGTGGCGGTGCCCTCTGACCTAGGGAGCTAGACAGAGTAGACATCTGCGTGGTGCAAATGTATAGGCGCGCCCCTCTTACCTGTTTGAAACCCCAGGTGGAACAAACAATCTCTTGTAAAACAAAGTTACAAGCGTGCAGGTAAAATACCACAGCTGAAGTACTTCCTCTAACATAAAAGACCATCTTACAAACTAAGTTAAAAGAAGCTCTGGTAAAATACCTAAAACAAAG